TGACAGGCAGAGAAAGAACTGGCAGGAGTGGCAGAAAGTGGTGGCAGGACAATTTAGCTTGCAGGAGCCCTGTATGCTGTGCTGTGAAGCTGGTAGACAGTGACAGGAGATGACTGGGTAGGACAGGAAAGAAGGTGAGATCCCTGCCGCATGCAGATGTGTAGGCAGCTTGAGAGGTAGATGATGTGTCTGAGTCCACTTGTCAGACATCCAGGTTTTCAGTAACAATCAACCATTTCTCTGGAGGAAAAAACACAGCGGTGATGGTGAGTGGAGAGTCGCACTTGTACCATAGTCAAGTCATTAGGCATTGCCACAAGGGACTGACTCATGCTGGAGTGCTGCTCTCTCACCACTGTCAGGTAGCAGAGCTGGGTCAGATTGATGCTGTTGTCCTGCTTGGCCTTTAGTTCATTCCAGCAGTCATCAGGAACTTGTACAGCTGCTTGGCAAAGATTGAAATCCCACGATTGCTAATCTCAGGGAAATGCTCAAATTATGTGTTAGAAATATTAGAGACAGCATTGCACCCATAAGCAGATTATTTCTTGGAAACAGGTCAAATTGTGTGTGTTAGAAACCACAAAAGAGCAGTTTCTGAAGACAAAAATCACAAAAAGGAAGTTTCATTGCTTATTTCTGAAAAGTTTTCTGCTTTCACTTTTATAAAGTTGGTGTCTGTACCCAAGTCTGTGGTGTGATTCACCTTGCTATTCCCACTGGAAATAGATCAGGCAGGACTTGTCTTCAAGCTGATTATTACACCTTTCAGGTGCTTTGTACCCTCTTAGCTATGAAGTACCCAATAGCCTAAATTTTCCAATTTTAGAGTAAGGCTTCTCTGAACAAAAGCCCTTTTCTCATTATACTTTTTCTCAGCAGTGGACTTCCCCTCAGATTTAAGCCTAAATGAAAATTAAGATGTCCTCTTGTCTTTGGCAGACTGAGCTGGATCAAGGAAAAGAATACGTAGTGTTTTCTTTATATGATGGTTGTCAAGTTTCAAGGGCAAAAGCACTGTTAGAAATGTGTTCCCAGAAGTTGCGTATTATAGCAAACCTTCAACAAAAAAAAATTATTTCTTTTAAGGAAATGTGTTTAGATTCTTGCATTGCGTTCATGCAGCAATTCAAGAGCTGCGTGCTTGTGGCTGCTGCAGCTTCTCAGCTCCTGTGAGGATGTTGCTTAAGCAGACAATAAGTTTGTCTTACCCTGGGGTTTCAGATTGAGGTAACAACTCTGTGAGCAGCAGCAAGCTGCTGACAAAGAGACACATGATGGAAGAGGTGTTCATTGCCTTTCAGTCCAGTCAGTCCTCCCAGTTTGAGGAGAAGGCTCTAACAGCATCACTGTCCTGCCCGCACAAAACATACTCCCCTGCAGGGAAAGCCAGTCGGTGCAGTGTCACTGGCTGTGCTGAATTGTCACAGGCCTGTTGTCTGTCCAACAGCTCTGTCTTCAGTTTCATCTTAAAAACGCCTCATCTAGACCTAAATAAAACAAGCTCTAAGTATTTCCTTTAAGGAGCATTGCCTATGACATTACCTACCATAATCAGTGAACAGGGATTCTTTCCATAGCAACTGCATAGCAGTTATGCTTTAGTTACTGATCTTATGTAGTTATTGGCTGAAGTGGTATCAACTCTTCAAGCCATAAACACGTTACATTCTTTTTACTAAATAATATTGCCTTAAGAATTAGGACCTTAATATTTTAATATATTGTTATATCTAGCAAGTCATTCATATTATGTCTAACACTGTTGTATCAGAGGAAGAAATTGTAGAAATGGAGTTAAACATAATTATTAAATGCTTAATTTGCCGGTTTTTTATACCTATGACATCCATTTCTCAGTATTGTCAATATTTGATGTTGTGATTGCTGTTCACTATTTACTTGTTGTATTTTTAACATTTAGTCCTACATTACAAATTTGATAGATCTACAGAGGTGAAAAAGTGGGAAAAATGCCTAAAATCAGGTTCAATTTTATTTCATTCTGTGCATTTATTGCTGTTATTGTTAGCTGACATTCTCTTAGCTCACTGTGCTCTGCCCATAATCTAATCTATCCTGAAGAGTCAGGCAGCAGTCTATGAAGCGATTATAAGGATCTTCAAGTGTCTTCAAGGATTTTCTGTACTTGGACTGCAAAAGAATTTTGATCTGTTGTTGATAGAATGGGCACAATAAATTCCATTTTGACAGTTCCTAGAATGCCACCTATTAATAAGGAACGAGGGCAAAGAACACGATACAAATTCATCACAAGTGGACTCATAAATAATGCTCCTGGTTTTGACTGTGTCACCTGGCATCACAGTGGCTGTGGATTTCAATCCTGGATGGCAAGTCAGGTGTTGTTAGCTGTCCTTTTCTGCCTGGAGAACACACATTTTTCTGGTTGTGATGTTCTGCAAGGCAGTGCCGTCTTCTCTTCTGTATTTTTTATTATTTGGTAAAAATATGCTGCACCTACAACCTTGTGTGGCTATAAAGGCATTATTTTTTAGGCTGAAATATTTTTTTGCTACCTCTTGAAGAACACTGCCTGCACCTTACCTCACTGTTTTACTTTTGAGAAGATTCTGGACTGGAAATGTGCAAGTCGAGTTTTCCATTTTCAAATGTTTGAGTCATTAAAAAGCAGGAGGGAATTATATGGCTAATGCCAGCTCACTCCTACCACTGCTGACTTGCACCTTTGTCAGGAGTCTTCCCTTCCTACTCTAGTGGTCTGGAAATTGTACTGCCCTTGAGGCTGCAGAAGAGCTGCCGACTGGGGCTGTGGGCAGCTGCCATCTACTCTGGGGATTATACTGGGGGTTTTTGTGTTAAATTGGTGCCACTCTAAACTAAGCCTAACCACCTCACTTGTCCAGTTGCTTTTCCATCCCACTGGCAGACCCTGACAGTTTTTTTGTTTTGCCTGACATAAAGCCCTCTGGCTGCCCTAATGTAATCTGTTCGCTCAGCTAATTCCCAGGTTGTTTATTGTGGGCCCTGTCCAACACCCACAGAAGGCCATGCAACCTTCAGCTGCCTCGGCAGCTGTTGGACTGGGCTTATAAAATAGGGACTTATATGCTATTTTCAGGGCATTAAGAGCTTGGATTACTTAAAAACTGTACAGTGGTGTGTTTTGATCAGGATAAAATAAGGAAAGGCAGTAGAAAAAATTACCTTTGAGGTGGTATCTTCCACTTTTCAAGTGTTTTGGAGCCACTTTGGAGGAAAAGATATTGTTTGGATCAAGGAAGTCACCCAGGTCATTTCCTGACATGAAATGGTGAGGAGATGAAGAAGCTCCCATCGGGCAGGACTCTTCACCCTTTCCAACCTCCTCTCTGTAAACAGGGAAGCCCATTCTCCATGAACTGTGTAGGCAATGAGTTTAGACAGGACATCTAGTTCCCAGACTAGATATCTAGTTACCAGACAGCCATCAGCGGAACCTGTGGAGGCACAGGTGGATCTAGGATGGATCCCATAGTTTTCCCCTTGAGAAATAAAGCTTTTTGGTCATTCTGGTCCAAGAACACAGGAAATAAGGACGTCAGCCCTCTAGCTGCTTTGGGGAGTTCAAATTCCTTCAGGAGAAAGGGAGTTTCTCATCACAGAAAAAAATTAGCCTCAATTTCATCTGTCCAGTGCCAAACAGTAGATTAGGTTCAAATGCTGGTACATTTCTCAGTAGCTGCTTGTGACGTGTATCGATACTTTATTCTTCTTCAATTTTTAAAAGTGATACCTTTGTTTAGAAAGGACATATTATTGAATGCTTATCAGCCACTCCAGTCATTGTTCATAAATACATTTCTGGCCCAGAGACTTCATTCTGACAACAGTGCGAAAGTCCTGTTTAGATTATTTTGCAATTCTGCTTAAGTTACCCATATATCAGATCTCAGTTGTGACTGTCACTTGCATGACAAATTCTCAAGCAGGTTTCTGTCGATAGAGAATGGCTTCCCACAAATCAGGTATAATGGTAAGCTTCCAGTAAAACTGATGTTGCCATTTGAAGCCAACATACTCCGGCTCCAAAACTTAAAACGCAAAGGCATTAGTCATTAGTAAATCTGCTGTACAATGTGATATGTAGCAACTTGCCTTAAATGAAATATAATTAAGATGATTTGACAGAGCCTGTATCCAATAAATACTTCTCAATGGTTAATTTAAGGGAAATAAATTTCCAATTTTGTTGTCTGGGTACTTTTTCTTCCTCCTTTTTTTTTTTTTAAGAGTCTATTTCAAACAGCTATGACCACCTGCTTTACTATTACTTAGTAATAGATCCAATTTTTGGTTACAAGGAAAATTAAAAAACACAGTAATAGTTTGAGGTAGGGGAATCCACCATTGATAAAATCTCTTCAGATTTTATCTTCATTTTGAAGTAAAATGGGAATTGGTCCATGCCAAATAACTGAAGCAATTTCTGGGTTGCTCTGTTTGATTTTGACTACAAAGATATATCTAGAAGGGCTTTGGAGCTCCTGGTTTCAGCATACACTGCAGTTGCACTTTGATCCCATTTTGAAGCAAGACCAAGGGAATATAGCCCTTTGTACCTGCCTGGTTTCCACCAGAGGTACAAAAAATGTATCTCATTATTCCAGGTCCTCGACACAGTTGGGTGACTGGGATGGAGGGTGTGCTGCAACACCCAGCTACTGGTCAGCTGTACCTTGCAACATCCATTGCTTGCCTCATGCTTTCAACATCAAAGTAGGATGGCAAAAATTCAGTGTAATCACAGTTCTCCAGACTGTCAAGACTATGTAATCAGCATGTAGATTAGACTTGTTGATTTTTCAGAGTATATGTATATATATATATATATAGTGGTAGACATTGTCCAAAGTTTTAATTGATTCCCAAGAGTGAACTGTCATCAGAAAACTCAGAATAGAGTGTACTGTTCTTCTACAGCCTCCAAACTAGTCAGTCTTAATAATAATTCATATGCATTTGTTTTTGCTCTGCAGGTAATATTTTAACTCCAATATGGGAAAGCAAAACAGCAAGCTACGTCCTGAAGTCATGCAAGATTTGCTAGAAAGTACAGACTTTACAGAACATGAGATCCAGGAGTGGTACAAAGGCTTTTTGAGAGACTGTCCAAGTGGACATTTATCTATGGAGGAGTTTAAAAAAATATATGGAAACTTTTTCCCTTATGGGGACGCTTCTAAGTTTGCGGAACATGTATTCCGCACTTTTGACGCCAATGGAGACGGAACAATAGATTTCAGAGAATTCATCATAGCCTTGAGTGTAACTTCAAGAGGTAAACTGGAGCAGAAGCTGAAGTGGGCATTCAGTATGTACGACCTCGATGGGAATGGCTACATCAGCAAGTCAGAGATGCTGGAAATCGTGCAGGTATGTGCTGCTCAGAGGCACCCCTTGGCCTCTCTCCTTCCCAGCAAATTGTGAAGCAATGTTGCAATGAGACACAGAATTAAAAAATGGCAGCATTGGTTTATGATCTTGTATAGCTGCTTGGATATAAAATGCTATTTCATTTGGCAAAGATCGTGTCACAATTCAAATTACAGCATTTGATATCCACTGCAAGTTTTTCCTGAGCAACAAGCTGCATGGGCATTTCTGTTGGGCTGGAGCACAGCAACTAACCTGCTGATAAATGTGATTCTCTCCTCTGGGAAATCACCATCAATTAATTATGATTAATTACAGTTGAACAAAGTAGGTATATTAGAACAACCAGGCAGCATACTTTTAAGGAAGGCAGGCTTCCTCCACAATAAGAAACAAATGTCCTTTGATTTGTTACTGATGTTATTATGAAGAACCAGCTCACATATTTTAAAGGTGTCTATCTGCCTAATTCCAGTGAGGTCTGTGTACTCAGAATTGTACTAGCTGTCTTCATATTTAGTTGCCAGTATAGATAAATCTTATCTGGGTAGATGATGAATCCACACACAGCCCCTTTGGTTGTGTTTTCTTGTGGTGTTAGTAGGAGTCCAACCTCACTTTGGCTTTCTCTAACATGTTTTTGCCCTTGAGGCACATCACTCTACTGAAACATTTTAAACATTTTTGATGTTGTAGTGTATTTACACAGCTTGAATCTGTATAATGCAGCACTGTTAAAAAAAAAAAAAAGGCTGTTATCAAAATCCTTTCCGTGGAAATTTTGATGTGCTAACAATGTGCTGTATTATTCAGACTTATATTTGTGCTGGAAATCAAGGGAAAGGAATGCACACAAATTTCTGGCTGTGATGCCAAGCTGCATGTAGGGAGGCAGCCTAATATGTGGTACTCCTGTCTACCAGGGCTCTTCTCACATCCTCCAAACAGTGGCCAATAGCAGCACTTGCGCTGCTTCAGCAAGACCAGATACAAAGCTCAGCTGCAAATCTGGGGGTGCTGTGTTGTCTTTCACTTAGTCTGTTTGATGTTCCTGTGTCTGAGTTGAGGAGCAGAACTGCATTCAGACCCAGAGACCTCCCTGCCTCTGTGCCATGACAAACCTCATGGAATATTTGCATTAGAAGATCCTCTGTTCCTTACAAATCTTCCTCTCCCCCAGGCAGGATAAACAGCCTGTCAATTATTGTTTTTCTAGCTGTATTTCTCCTCATGAGAAAACAAAAAGAATCCCCAAAAGAACTAACATAGCACATAGCAAATACAAAGAGCCAAACCCGAGTGACTGTCTGCTCCTCAGGAGGAGGAGACACCCTGGGTGCTGAAGGACCCCTCGCTGCTGTCAAGGAGCCCGGGAAGGCACTGAGCTGAGAGGCAGCACAAACCCCCCAGGCCAGGGGATTTACGAACAGGGACAACAAGGCCACAAATTTGTTCATGTCAAATTTAATGAAGGCATCGGTGGCCGGATTTTCTGTAGTGAGCCAAACAAGAACAGGCAAAGCCGGTAGCTTTTTCCAGTTATCCCAGATCTGCTTGCCAGGATGTTTAGAGGCTGAAATGCTCTGCCTTCTCTTCATATTCATGTCGGTACCAAATCGTAACGGTGTCCTTTACAGCCATCAAACAAAATTGCAGCCTAGGGATCAGCACAGGGCAACATTCTATTGATGTGTGTATCCAACCCCAAGCAGCACTTCGGCTGCGCGCAGCCCTCAGCTTGCCACTCCAGACCTTCCACTGCACTTCTTGGGAGGTTTTGCTCTCTCCTCCTTTCAGATTGAACCTGAAACTCAACCACATGATGCTTTGTCTCATATAATGTCACCTCATTTTGAGGGATCACACAAAAAGCAGTTATGGAAGTGAATAGCCTAATAAGCCTGAGCAACAGTTATTTCTATACCATGGAATATCAGCAGTTTTCCAGTCAGGAAAGCTGCCCTTTCTGTGATGGAGCTTCCCATGAGGCAGTGTGCTTGTAGATCTGACCCTATTCTCTTCTTTCAGGTTTTTTTGGATGCATTGATCTCCCTGTATTGCACTGGTCACTCACAGCTCCTCCCAGTGGGGTGGGATTTGTTGTATAGTCTCTGGAATGGTGTTCAGCTGATATCTGAAACTGAAGTAGATGAGCATATTTTCTTGCTTTGTTGAGAGGTTCCTTTGATGTAGAGTGATTAGATACAAAAAGCCAGCAAACAACTATCACTTTCATTTATGAAAGATGATTATTTTTTAATATGGAATGACAGGATTGTGTATCACATGTCTTCCTGGGGGCCTTAAGCTGTCACAATCTGATAGTGAAAACCAGAACTCTCTTGTAACTCTGATATATGTCTCAAAGGAACCTATTACAAATCCCTTATCTGGCATAAATTTGCATATTGATAGAGCAGGATTATGTTTTCACTGGATTTTTGCATAAGACAATACACCAAAATGAATGCTAAAAGAAACACCATCAGTCTAAAAATCTTAGTTTCACAGAAAAATTCTGTCCCTGTTACTGTGGGATTACTGTATCTTAAATAATATAGGGGCAAGGCACACTTTTCTTTTTCAGTCTACTTTTCTTTGTGCTTTGAAAGCCCTCTCTCAGTGATTTTCACTGTTATGCCGAAGGTTCTTTGCATTTCTCTTCCATTGCTCTGGTCTAATCTAATGCAATGCAGGCATTGCACTCTTGCTCAGTGTTGCAGTAAGGAGCTTGAGGTAACAGTGGTAGCAGCAGCAGCACTGAAACAGCAGAACTACTGGTTAAGATGCCCCACAGGAGGTGGTGAATGGTCCATAACAGCTCTTTGAAGCCTGTTTTCTTTGCAAAGTGATGTGCTGCATAGCAAAGCACCTGCATTCCTTTAAGCTCCATTTACCATAGTGCTGTTAACCATGTAGGCATAGCCCAGTGCTGACTCACCACACCTGCCCAGGAGCATCCCTCCAAAAAGCCCTGCCTAGAGACCCATGAGAAGCCAACTGCACAGTCTGGAGGTTTATATAACTTGAAGGACTTTAGTGGTGGGTTGATGGTGGTAGAGCCTAAAGAAAGAAGGTCCATGGGATACTGATACACTTACCAGGCACAGCACATCTGCAGAGTACTGTGGGAAGATGCTTCATAGCCTGCCCTCTTGACAGACCTTGCCACAGTTCCTCTTAAATTCATGTCTTAGGCTTTTCATGTCTCCCATATGTTTACCTATAATCTAAATAGCCCAGTCTACTCAAAAATAGCTGCAAACCAGCTAGAAGATTTGTGTTTGTTCCCCTCGCTGAAACAGGACATATTTGGCTACAGTCTCTTAAAATAAGAGTTCAAATAAGAGATGGAAACCTTTTTCTAAGGATACATTTTTTCACTGTATGGAGTCAAAAGCCATCTTAAGAATACAGAGCAGAGAGACAAGAATAACACTTTCAGTTTAATAAAAACAGAGCACACACGTTTCACTTGCTAGGCTAGCTTATTTGAAAGCCAGGAAGAAACAGAAGCTGGTATGGGAAGAAGCAGAAGCTAATATGGCTCTGTAAAGACAGTGTCAAAAATCCCCATGAGATTGAGAGGAAAGCAATTTTTTTCAGGCTGATTATTCACCTCATGAGACTTTTAGCTGTCAAAATTTATTTCAACAGAGTAAAAAGGATCGATTGAAAATTCATATTGTCATTGCTGCCATCACCGTAAGGAGGTTTTTGACAGTTTGCCAAGTACACAGGGAAATGCAGCCCTCACCAAGGCTCCTGGCCTGAGTGCAGCAGTGGCAGCCAGCGACTGGGAGCAAAACTGGTGTGTATAGGCAAAGGGGATGAGATTTGCCCTAAATCACCCACTGCTGCTCATCCACATGCAGCTGGAAAATCAAAGGGGAGAGTTCAACAGGGCAGCAAATGAAGCTGGAACCTGTGCTTGCTCTAGTGATGTACACAGGATTCTGGAGACACAACTTCTTGGTGGCATTCAGGGGTGCCAGGGAGCTGTAAGGAGCGCTCCTGACAGAAGTTCACCTGAGAAAGCTGCCCTGACTCAGGAGGCTGCTGATATACAGCAACCTCCAAACTTTTTCCAGTTGAGTGCCACTAGTGGTTTTCAGCCCAGGTACTGGGAAGCTGAGGAGTCACACTCCATGTGGGATGGAGTTCCTGCAGCCTTTCAGTCCCAGGTCCCAGCTCAGGGTTAGTACAGCCCAACTCCACGTAATTATTGCATGAAACCTACTTCCTTTCAGAGCTTGCTCTTTCAAACATAAAATAAAAAGCTCTGTGTAGCTGCATTGAATTAATATGGGGCAAGTCTCAAGATTCCTAATCAGCTTTAACTGGCTTTTATTTTGGGAAAATTTCCCACTAAAGTTCTGAGTAAGGACATAAGAATTTGTCCAGAGTAACCATTTTCAGCATGAAAGGAATGCTTACTATGTTATTCCCATCTGGCTTTCCTAGAATATCTCATCTGTTATTCCCTTCACACGCCTCTGTGAAAAGGACCCTGTAGGATGAAGTCATCCTGAAGCACTTTTTTTTGTCCTAAAAATCTGCATATTCTTACTATGGTTACTTTGATCAGGGTAAACACCCCTGCAGTCCCAGGCTGGCGCATTCCTCCCACACTTTCAATACAGATTCTCTGCTTTGCTGTGCTCTCACTCAGAGTGAGAGAATGACCCCTCCACCTCTCTTCCTACCCCAGACAAAAGCCAGACCGCTTCAGATGCTTAAACACTGGCAGATTTATAAGCCTCATCTCTGCTCTGACCTTGCAAGCCTTGCATGCTGATGAGGGTGAGGAAGGTGTAAATTCTTAATGTCCACCCTCTCCTTTTTTTTCTTCCCCTGTTACCTCCTTCCCCCAGCTCCCTCATCCCTATATTTATGTGCTTTCATGTTCGCCATTTCTTCTGTTCTCCTGGTATCAGAGTATCTTGGTTGTGTGGACTGCATCCCTGCCTGTTCTGAGGCTCTGCCCAATACTCTGGAACCCTAATTCCCTTGGGAGTCTTTGGGCACTCCTGCCATGCAAATCATGATGATGATGATTAAAAGGGTGTCCACCACACTTCCATTCAACCAGCAGCTGTTCATGCTGAAATGTTCACCTCTATTCCTCTGTTTGAGTCCTGTGTTACAGACTAACCGGAGGGCAGACCTGAAAATCCACAGCCACAGTCTTGGTGGCATAACTGGGGGAGCAGATGTTTGATTATGCTGAGCATAAGTGAGGGATAATTAATTAAAAAGACAAATGCCTTTCTTAGGGCATAAGTCTTGAAATTATTTAAGGGCCAGGAGATGTGAAAGGTGAGCTGTTGGCAGAGGAGAAGCCAGCAAGAATGCCAAGGAAGTGAGTGCTACCTAGTCTGAGTGTAAAATGTCTGTGCTGCTTAGCTGTATCCTCCACCTCTGCTATTACATTCCTGGAGCCAATCCTTGGGGATCCTGGGCCAGATGATGTGAGCTGCTAGGCAGAGTGCCTTCACGAAGGGGAAAAGGGGAGAGGGGTGACCCAGTGAGCAATCTGGGGCTTGCGCCAAGGACCTCCCTCCCAGAGCAGGAGGAAGGAGATAACAAATAACTAAAGCAATCACATCTTCACCAACTTATTAACTGACCACTGGAGAAAGCATATTGGGTGAAAACAAGCATTTGACTCTGTGGGTGAAAGTGATCCACATCTACAAGGCTGCAGGGCAAGGCGATGCCTGGTGCAGCACCAATGAGCTGCAATGGGAAGCAGAAGGAGCTGGTTAGACAGGCACAATGCTGCCTTGGGCTGAGATGCCCCTCCAAAAGGCCAGGAGGATCACCCAAGGCCACCACCCTGAAGCTGTCTGGGTGCTGCTGTTCTCCTAGTTGCAGCACTGCAAAGATACCTGAACACAAAACCCACTTGTTTATTGGTGCTGCGTGCTCATGTTTGCAGGCAAGGTTTGGATAAGCACTTCAGAGACAGGTCTTCATCCTTGTTTTAAAATTAAATTGCCTCTCTTTCAGGGGAGCTAGTACCAAACATGACTAATGTATTTGTCTGTGCAGAGAATAGCTATGGGTAGTTCAAGTGAGACCAGAATGAATTGTAAGTGGGATTTTTGAGTTGTGTACGCACACCAACCCCTAAGGAAAAGGCCAGCTCCTTGATGGTCCAGTCTTTGTTATCTGTGAGACACAGCAAATGCAGGGAGTGAGTCACTGACCTCTCTGCCACAGGACAGGATGCTGACCAGGGAGGGAGAGAAAGGAGATGGGGGAGAAGCAAAGGTGGGGTGAGGAGACAGGTGTAGTGAGTATGGAACCTGGGAGGCCAAAGCACAGAGACACACCACAGCACGGAACAAGACCTTGGTGGTCTTACCATTCCCCCAGGCTCTGGGAGCTGCCAATGCCTAACATGCTGCACAAATGATAAATTCATCCAAAGACTGTCTTAATAAGGAAAAATGTAACCTCAGTCCAAACCCAGATGGTGTTCAACTGTGACTAAATGAAGAAACACACTGTTTGATAAATGTGCCCCACTGAAGAGGGAAGCTGCATGTACTGGTGCCACCCAACGCCCTCCAGCATCCCAGAGCAGGTTCCAGCTGATGTTCCCAGGATATTTTCTGCCTGCATCTGTAATCATATCCTTGCACTGAGATAATGTGTTTCTTACCAGCTCTTTGCTCCTGTCTATCACACAGGCAATCTATAAGATGGTTTCGTCTGTAATGAAGATGCCAGAAGATGAGTCAACACCAGAGAAGAGGACAGAGAAGATCTTCCGTCAGATGGACACCAACCGTGACGGTAGGCACCCTTCTGGTGGGGTGGGTGGGGTGTCCCGCCCACACGGGGTGACCCCGCAAAGCCACCACCATACAAGGCCAGCAGAGTGCAGCCAGGCAGGACTTTGCCTTGCAGGGTTGCTTTCCCAGGGATTTTCCTTGGGCTCCCTCAGCGTCCTTACACCATGTTTGTCCAGAGGCTTGTCAGGTGTACTGTGACCCACGGCATGAGCTAAGTAAACTCATTTCTTTTCTAGGAAAGCTCTCTCTGGAAGAGTTCATCCGAGGCGCCAAGAGTGATCCATCCATAGTCCGTCTCCTGCAGTGTGATCCCAGCAGCGCCGGCCAGTTCTGAACCTATTCTTTGGATGAATTATGTATCTGCTTTTTTTTTTCCTTGCCAAACAACATTCATGGTAGTGTTGCCTCTGTATGGCCAATTATGCCTTTATTTGTGGCATCTTATAGCTTCTTTTGTTGTGGATTAATTATAAGAATGCTGAATTGCTCTTATCAATTTGTCCAGGGCATGGGCAGTACTGTTTTAAACAGATATTGTGGTGTTATCATTGTTTTAAAATTTTCATTTTGGTTTTTTTGTTTGTTCGTTTTAACGTATCTGTTTTGGAAAGTATGCGTTGAGGAAGAGTAAACCAACAACAAAACCCTTGGCAGCAAGACACGCTGACAGATTTTAGATTGCTGCTTTAGTTGTTAAGTATTCACCTGCAGGACCTGAAAAGTGTTGTAGAGGCTGAACCAAAGGGGTTGTGACAGGTGGGGTAGGATTCAGCTAAAACTTGTCCAGGAGGCACCAGTTAACGTCAGACAGGACTGAGAAAAAGTACAAAAGTGCAAAACGTATGGGGTATATTGTCCACTCCTATACCTCCTTGTTTCAATGTGAACATTTTCCAGGTTATGAAGGAGAAGGGACAAAACAAAGGTTGACATTTTTTTTGCTAGGTTTACAGTGGTTGAATTCACATGGCTTTATCTGAAAATTCAGCAATTTGCAATCCTGATCTCCAAATCCACAACTGACAATACCTCTTGCCGTTTGGGATCAGCAAAGGCAGACACAGATATGAAAAACTGGGTCTTGACAATGAATTTAAGGGAGATACATGTTGAATGTGAAATTTTTAGGTTAGTAATAAAGCAGTTGCTACTAAGGAGAGTGGGCATTCATGTGAGGAACTCACGGACACCTGCAAGCATCTCCAGCTGAGGCACATCTGCTATTCTGAATGCTCTTGCATAGGAGGAAATTTTTGGAGGTGTTTTTGTCTCTCTCCACATAGCTAACAGAGTTTCTGGGCCTGCTCTTAGGGAGAGGCTCTCATCAAAACTTGTTTTAAACATAAAATTGTAGCATTTATATTTCATTTATTTTAGTAAAGTTCAAAAAATCTGTACTGAAATGAGGAAATGGTACGCTTTATGATATATTTATATATATAAAAATTAAAACAAAAAAAGATCAGCTCTTGAGAGAAATGTTGAATGTTTATCTTTTCGCCTAGATGCAGGAGTTCTGAAATTTGCTGCTGAAAAACTTCCTTTGGTCAAAGTTGCTGTATGCAAGGCTGGTACACGTATGTGGGATTTCTTAGGGACTTTACAATCACTGTTGCAATGGAAAAGCTTTAGCAACGGGAGGCATTATGCTGAGTAAATTGGCATTAACCAATCATTGGCTAAAGTCTGCTCTGTGATCCTGTTGGAGAGGTATCGATGCAGGCAGCACACAGTGTTGGGAATTCATGAGCTCGTTAGAGTAACCTTTGTCTGACAGGAAAGGTTGGCATTTTGTCAAGTGACCTTGTAGTTGCTAATCCCCAGTAGCCTTAATTTAAAATAAACTAAGTAAAATAAGTCTGCTTTACAGATGATGATTAGCTAAGTACTAATTAGAAGTCATGAATAAGTAGTTATGAATAATTTTATGTGGAACACTAGCTAGCATGTACAATAACTGACGGAAACAGTCCTAGACTTGATTTTTTCATACCTTTGCTTTGCCAGGTGTGAAGTGCAAAGCATGTTAAAAGACAATAAAAATAAATTGAAAATAACATTGTTAATTGGTTGTACTAAAATTATTATGAGTGGCTAATTACACTCAATAAATGTCTTCAAGAACACACCTTTATCTCAAACAATCACAGAAATCTGGTTGATGATATATTCCCCTCACATTAATCAAAATACTGAGCAGAGATGAGTGGGGGAAAATGAGAAAGCAAAAGAGGCCCAAACACAGATGCAAACAGATTTTAATACCCAGTGCTTTCAGCTGTTATGAGCATCAGTGACAAGTTTTGCACCAATTCTTATGGCTGATGGAAATGTTCCCTATCTCTTTCTCCCAAAACTTCATTAGACATCCTGTGCACAAATCTAACCCTTCAAAGGAGAGCCTATGCCTACTTTCTTCAAGGTAATTTTCTGCTTTATCTGGAGAGGCCCTCTCTCCCATATCCATCACCTCATGGATAGTAAAAGTTATGTTCCCCCTTGAGTGCTTTGAGGGTTGTTTTTCAGAAGGAGAAACTTGGCCAGACTGCTGGGGATTGCTGCAAGAAGGTCAGTGGGCATGCACTGATCAACACCCCCCTCTTCCAGACGGGAATGGCGAGTCCCGCCACCTCAGCTGCTCCTGGGGCGCTCCATCACCACTCCAGTGTGGGCAGCAGGACAAGGTGACACCAGAGGATCTCTGCTGAACTTCTAACCTCCCGGCTCAGTGCAGGCACCCACGTCCAAAGCAGCCCAGACCTATGGAAGCTGGCATTTACTGAAGGTGAACTCGGATACCTTCTACGGTTCCATCTTCTTCTTAATGCTATGAAAGCAGTTGCATGTGACTGAAACTTTTAAAACATTGCCTTTCATTTAAGCGAAGGTATTCCACCTCTTTTTCATTTTACAGGATATTTCCAACCCAGAACCTAATCTCTCTGTTTGTTTTTGCTCAGAAGTTTTGGAGTTCTGGGGCCAGGATCATTTCATATGTTACTACCATGCAACATGTGTTTGAAAATACGACCTGCACTATGACCCCAGGCCAGTGGAGATGTAACTCTTCCCACAGTTCACAAAATTTGAAACTATAAGAATTAGGCTACAGCTGCAGAGAACATAGCTGGAGATAAGAGTATTGTATAAATATTTGCAGAGTGAATTAAGGTTATTCTTCTACCTGACTACCACTGGTTGGTATTGTTTTAAATTATTAACTATCTCTTCCTTTCTCTGCTTCTACATGTACTTAAAGAGTGATCCATAGCTGGAACTGTGATAGGAGCATCCACAGACCTCAAATCAGCAGGACTGCAGTGGTGTGCTGTGCCTCAGACTGGAAATTTCTGCTTTGCTGCCATTTGCATCTGCAATCATAACTGCCTTCATAAAGCTTTTGAAGGCAAAGTGGCATATCCTGCATAAAATAGCACAGCAAGTCAGACACTTTTAACTGATCCTTTAGCACTGTCTTCATATAGGAAGGATGGCAGACAGCACATAGTGTTTCATATCACCTCTCTATTTTGTAGATGCATTCTCCAGTTTTAGTTGCACATGCAAGAGGCAACCTTCACTCACATGTTGTCCAAAAGAATTAACAAGTACATCCCATATGTAGACTGAACCCGTGGAAAATGCCGGTCCCATTTATCCAGTGTTCCCAGTTAGCTTGCCAAACTCTGTGCCAGAAGATATGAAGTGAGGACTATGGCTTGTGAATTTTGCAGCAGACTGTCTTTGTTTTAGGATGCTTTGGGAAGGGAAAAGGGTTGGTTTACCCTTGTAAAACCAACACACGTGTTTCTGTGAGCACTTACAGTTTGAGAGGGACTGAAGAAATATTTTTGTTTCAACATTATTTGAAGCCCTGTCAGTCCACAGCCATGGATGTTCCTGAGGTACCCAGATCTGTGCTGTTCCTCTTACTGTTCTTAGGAGCTTATAGAATTTTTCTTATTGCTGGAGCATTTTGTCCTTTGTTGTTCTGTGCTATAAGACCTCCACATTTTTTGCTGCTTAAAACAGTAAGCCAGAAGTGTGCAAATTCTGTAACTGGGTGAGGTCTGTGTGCAGCAGTATGGCACACCAGCATAAGAGGTGGTCACACACGATTTAAACACTCCCCCTGGGGGCTGAGCCCCAGGACTTTTCAGCATGTGCTCTCTTCACTGATGGCAAAAGTGCAATAATGCGGCTTAGCTTAATTTTCTTTCACTGCAGACCAGGTTAAGTCACATTACCTTTCATTTGCTGTGGGCAGAACCTCATCTCAGCTGACTCATGGAAACTTGGTGAACGGTGGTAACTTGATGTTAAGCTCTAATCTGCAGACTAAACCGAGATGAGAAGATGGCCTTGGCCATACGTCTCAGTACATGTGAACTAGGGAACACGGTGACAACTGGCAGGTCCCTAGAGGCACGTGGCAGTGAGAAGGGAATCTCCTGCCTCTGAACAAATGCCCTGAGCTGAGGTGCCTCCTTCTTTTAAAACTGTCTTTTTTCTCTTAGCACCAGTGGTGAAGATGCAACATGATAGCAATATAGCATGTCAGAATCAAGGAAGCATCCTTCAAAAGAGTTTCCTTTTGAAGCTTAGTGTACAAGTGCCAAGTGAAATGATCAGAGGGGAGGAGGGCTGGACAAGTCTTCCTGAACACCCACTACACCAGCACCTCCTTTTGTCTCTCTCATGGTGCTCCCTGTTTCCTGGCAAGGCACTTGGTGCAAGACCGGTGGAGAAGAATATTTCACCTACCCTTCACACAAGCATTTGGATGCATTCTTTGCTCTGTGTCTTACTGAGCAGGATCTCATGTAGGAGTCTTAAAGTGGGGGAAGTTTGTTTCGTTGGTATCACAGGCAGAACTTGTGCTTCGAAATTTGGAGAAACTTGGTAAACATCAGGCAGCTGAGCAGTGCTCAGGACTGCATGCAGAGTTTTCCACTGACTGTGCAGTAGGCAGATAAGATGCAAGGCAGTGATACATCAAACTCGTGGTGTGATGTGCTCTGAGATAGGGCTAGACAAAAAATAGCACCTTCTATCTGAGCAACTCTGTTGCTGCTTATTCCATCATAGGCACTGACAAAATACACTCTAAAATACCTCCAGTGTGAACATGCATCTGCAGGAGTAGAATAACTCTGCTCTTCCTTACATACAAACAGCAGAGCTGTTCATTATGCCCTGGCAGGAGCTGAACAAACAGCTCCTAGGATGAACATAGGGCTTTCCCTAAGTGTAACTGAGGGCAAAACATGGCCTGCAGGAGTTTCCTTCCCAGTCATGATAGAATAGAATGCTCTGATTGACTCTCAAAGCCCAGGTGTTATTTTGCAGGCTGGGGAAGGTGGGAGAACGGCTGTGTTTTAAGCACAGGGGGGAAAAAGCAACAGGGATTGTAAATTGTCGTGGAGAGCAGTGACACTAGAAACCAGGACCAGCACTGAGGGGCTGCAGAAGCTGTTAGGTGCCTGTGGCCTTCAGAGCAGTAGAACAAACAGTTGGATGTAAAGTCAATATCCTTGCCCCTTGCAGAGACAATCCCTGTCTACTATGGGAATCTCAGTCAGCAGCACCCCTTATTCCAGCCTAGCATTTGCTGCTGTTTCTTCCAATCATCCATACTGAGAAGTTGTTTCAGGGATGAGGATTTTCCATTTCTTAACAAGTAACAGCTGGAAAGGCCAGGCATGAGGGGCTTCTTGCCACATACAGGTTTGATTTCCTTATTGCTCCCACAGGTCATGTTATTTTTATGTATAGTTGGGATTAAGCTATCACATGTAAAATACTGATTAATGCAAAATAAGCAAGACAAAAAGCTTGGGTTATAGTGAACAATGCAAAAAGACTACATAAAGACTACAAAAACTATAAAAGACATCACTGCCTTTAGCCCTGCGTTTGAATTTGCAAGGTGAAATCCTCTTGGCAGTAGTCAGCACAGAATAGCTCCTCTGCACCAGCCCAGTCCATGGGCCCTCCTGGACTGCTTCATCCCCATGTCACCATGTGCTCAGAGTGGGGACTCTGGGTCCTGCCACAGAGATGGTCATCGGGGCTTATTAGGCCTGCTGAGGGCTTCCTAGATTTCAAAGCACACAACAGCCATCCTCTCCCTAGTGTTCACTTACTGTGCAGCTGAGACATGTTTTAGATCTTCTCCTCTTGCTCTGACCTTATACCAAAGATGTTCTCACCTTCCCAGGGCATGCACTCAGGGTGTCCAGCTCTCCGAGTTTTTGCACCCACCTCCCAGTTGCCATCCCTAGCTTCTGTATGAACAAACACCAGCCCTTGACATCTGGAGGAGCCAAGTTTGATGCACTTAGAAGGAACAGCTTCTGATTTGGTTTCCAGCCTTTGAACCACCTGTGTGTACCTTGCCAACTATGCTATTTACTTCTCATTATTAAGTAACAGCAGTATTAAACATTTCAAGAGCACACTGGAACAACATGTTTTTCATTATCAGTATGTGTTTGTTGAGGCACAGCAGACTGAACCTGACTGGTGCTCATTCTCTGCTCCCATGGTTTCTTCCAGGCCGGAGCAGCATTCTCCTATGCATCACCATTCAGTGTGTAGTGCCCCAATCCTTCCTGGAGCTCCCAGATGCTGTGGATCAAGAGATAATTCTGGCATAGTAATATCATCCAGAAACTCTTCTTGCCATCTGTCAAAAACATGTGTTGAGGGTGTGACCTCTGCGTTTCTCCTCCCTGGGGACACGGGTTTCAGGGTTGGCCTCATGTTTCCCCACCAAACAGGATGATGGGATGATGGTGATTAGTAAACCCACCTGAGAAAATCCTCTTAGATTCTAAACTTCATTTGTGCTGCTCATTGGCTGCACTCAGAGGGAAGATTAATGAGTCCAATGTGGTTGTTTGGGGGAGAACTTGCAGCTACTTGCCACCATCACTTTTTTATTTCCTGTCATTATCTTGTTCCCATTTCCAGGGCAACCAAATATTTTTTTATTAGTATCTGTAAGAAAAAGGAAAAACAAAACCAGGGTTTTAATCTGATAAGGATCTAAGGAACATTACTGAAGACATCGTGCTCCATGTTAGTCATACAAATACTCTACAAGATCATATTTCTTTGGTATTTTGTGCTTAATTTTCTTATATGCATTTGAGGTGTGTTTGTGATGTATTTCATTATCTTGGATCCTTTTATATTTAGCCCCACTGGTCCTTCAGCTCTTATGCAAAAGTCCCAATGATTCCAAGAGCAGGGCTGTCTGAGCTATTACTACCAAGGTGGGCTCACGGTACCTGGTAAAAGTGAAGTGCTTAATTACGTTAGGGGTTATTTTTGTCTGCACACTTGTTGCAAGGAAACAGAGCTGCATGTCAATATGTTTATCTCTTCCAATTGCTCACTTCAATTCCATCCAAGCAGTTTTGTAGTTAATATTTGTATATGCAGCTCTATTTCACACTTGAACCCAAAGTGACCAATATTTTCCTCTTCTGACAGAAGTACTTCATATCTTTTGATTTTTAAATATTGACGAGTGAATGTCATGATGGATGCAAAAGTAAATAGTTACACATTTGTGTTCTGGCTTTGGCTGTGGTAGAGTTAGTTTTCCTCACAGTAGCTAGAATGGGGCTAAGCTTTGGATTTGTGCAGGAAACAATGTTAATAACAGGGGGATGTTTTCATTCCAGTGGAGCAGTGTCAAGGACTTTTGTGCTTCTCACCCCACTCCATTAGCAAGGGGGCTGGGGATGCACAAGGAGGTGGGAGGGAACTCAGCTGGGACAGCTGACCCCAAAAGACCCAGGGATATCCCAGACCATATGGTGTCTCAGTCAGTAAGCAAAGATGTGAGGGGGAAGAAGGAGGAAAAGAGGGACATTCAGACTGATGGCATTTGTCTTTCCAAGTCACCATTATGCATGATGGAGCCCTGCTTTCCTGGGGATGGTTGAACACCTTCCTGCCCATGGGAACTGGGGAGTGAATACCTTGTTTTGCTTTGTTTGTGCATGGGGCTTTTGCTTTCCCTATTAAAGCGTCTTTAAACTGAGAAAACCCATGAGTTTTCTCACTTTTACCCTTCCAACTCTCTTCCCCATCCCACTGGGAGGGAGGGAGTGGCTCTGTGGGACTTAGTTGCCAGCTGGGGTTAAACCACAACAATTTGTTTAAATTTGGGCAGGTACTTTTGATGCTGTAGAAACTAATAACTTGAGATAAACCACAGCCAAAAGCTGAATGGATCAACGTGTACAGTTCCTATTTAAATCCATGACCATTCCACAGGGAGAGCTTTCTCATCTCTGTTCCGTCAGGCTGTTGCCTCATTGCAGCATAGAGATACCAAATGAAACTTTAAATAATCTACCATGGGCAGACTAACTGCAGCAGCATGGAGTTCAGCATATCCTGTGTCTTGGCAAAATTAGATACCTCTCTAGATGAATGCTTTGTAAGTAAACCTACATATCTTAAGGAAGACTTTTACCACTCAGAAAGGAGAGGGACAACTATGAATTTAATTAATTTGGTCTGCATATTTTTCTTATGGCTGTCTAGAATTGCTAGTGTCCTGAGTGTAGTTGCCTATAGGTATCGTGATGTGTTAATTTTCCCCCCTGGTTCTGTTGTAAGCTTATCTGATGGTATTCCAAGTCTCCAGCTAGTTCTTTGCCAGGCAAAGCCCATGAAAGGACATGCAGAGGTGAGCGGCCTTCAGGCATATCGGGGGCAGCTTTTGGGGATATGGCCCTGTGCTGCTGTATGCTTTGGGATTCTGTGCCTGCAGAGCAACATGTTAAACCTACCTGGTAAAATGGAAGTAGATGATCAGGCCACTGAAGAAGACGCAGAATTTGGTGGAGGGTTGTGTATGTTTTGTGCCCCCCAGCACGTGCACGGTTCCCCCTGCTATTAGCTTCCAGTTAGGATCTTTCTTGAACCCTTAGCGTTAAAGTTTTCTTATGCTGATAATGTATTTGTATTATGCAACATACTCAGAAAACAGAAGATTATCTCCCTATGACTGTCCCCTCCTCTCGAGAAGCTGTTATCTTCTGTACATATGATATGCAGAATGTATGGGAGTCTTACCAGCGTTGGTTTGCATTTTTAAGACTGTACTAATTAATGTGTGATGCTATTGTGTTTTTGTAGTGGCATCTTTGATGTAGGATGTAAAAACTATTTAAATTTTTTGTTTGTTTGTTTATTGTTCAACTTTTAGAGATAGCACCAACGACTGCATGTTCACTAGAATCAGCCTTTTTCAGGGGCCATCATAGCTGCACGCAGGCACCGGTGTTTCACCCGGCGCGTAGCACCTGTGCTCTTCTTTTAGTAGGGGTCAGTTTTGAGTGGAAACTAATTCTTCCTGAGAAGTCTAGTTTTCTGTCTTACACTCTCTCAGATTCAAGCTTCCTCCTCCCATGCTGTGTGCCAGCCCTGGGCCCAGGAGGAGACCTAGGAGGAATGTCTCCTGACCCAGGGCACCCCGCTGGCATCAGGCTCCCTTCCCCCTCAGCTCATGCACATGCACATCCGTTTTTCCTTGGAATTGCTGGCTATACCAGGACAAAACCCATGGGCTCACATTATGAGACCATTTGTGCAAGTGACTTTAAAATTAATTAACTAAAATTTGGGGAAATCAAGCAATTAAGGAAAAGAAGAGCCTGAACAGCAATTTTAAGGTCAGAATCTTATTGGGGTGCTTAATATAACAAGAATTTGGGGTCAGTCCCTAAAAGACAGGACCCCTTGGGGGGCTTAGGTCTATATTTCTTGTCAGATTTGGAGAAGGAAATGGGGCTTGAATCCAGCCTTTCCGGCAGGGCTGATTTACTAGATGGACTGAGTCTGAGAGACACTTCTCCAGATTGTGTCCTGGGCCAAAAGTCAAGACATGCTGCAGCTTAGGAGTTATTTTTCTATTAGTTTGTTTTTTTCTTTTTAATGGAGAAAGCAGTTCAAACTGCACCTGGCAAAATGACTGACTTCAAAAGCATGTTTTTCCTTGTTATATAGACACTCACAAAAAAGCATTGTGTGGTTAAAAAGGTGCATTTGTGATAGTTTCTTTTTCAGTGCCAAAATATATAAGCAGTATTGTTTGAAGGGAAATAAGAATTTTTTTACTGTATTGTTATTACTGTTGAACAAATATATTGTTTTTAAATGTTAGATTTTGAAGACTTTTGTATTGTAAACTGTTTTGTGACACGGTGCTTTTTCATACTGGAATTACTGATTGCACCTAAATATGAATTATTGTTTTCTTATATAAATATGTAACCTTGAACAATCTTGATGAAAACCAATGTATGGTGGATACTGACAGTTCAAACAAATTGACCTACTGAAATCCCCTAAATGTTCTTTCCTACTAATAAACATTCTGCTGCAGCTAGCTATGGTGTGCCACGCGCTGTTACTGCCTTCATGCTGGAGCCTTAAAGTCTCACGTAGCCCTGTGGTCTACTGAGAAAACCTCAGAGAAGCCTTTGCCTGCTGTCTTCACAGCTCCTGTTCCACTCACTGCCATGGGCAAAGGGTCAGCAGCTGTGAAAGCCAATTTGGAGGGCTTAGCCAGGGCTTAAGCGGTGCACGGGCACTGTGCCGGCACGTTGCAGCCGGCTGGGCTCTCCACTGCTAACACGGTTTTTCCTCCAGCAGCTAAAGCCAGCAGCTGGGCACAGAGTAGGGTAGCACGGAGTGGATTACAAAAGCAAAGGAAGGACAGCATAAGGCTGAGAGCTCTCGTCCTCTGGAGCTGGAAAGACCAGCTTAGCTAACTGACAGCAACTTTCCCTGCCACAGATAAATCCCTCTCCAGGTTTAGGGTGGGTTTTTTTACCCTAAGGACTAGCACACCATCGGGGGGCAGGATGTGGCAAGGGAGCATGGGCTGGCAAGGTGGTAGCTGTGGTTAGTTGCTCTGAGATGTGGCTCATGAGGCAGCAGCAGAGCTTGTCACAGCAGGGACTCCTGCCAGCCTCAGACAGGCTCTGGAGGGGGCTGGCTCATGTGCATGTTTCTTAAACTCCACAAACTTTTACCTAGGCCAAATTTGGAGCTGGGATTAGCACCAGAGTCCTAAAAGTAGTTTAAATCCCACGGGAAGGTAACAGAAACCAGTGCCTATTTCCTCTTGAGATTAAAAATAGCCTATTTGTGGAACTGCACATTAATATAAGCTTGAGACAGGCTGGAGCCTGGAAGGAGCATCAGTTACAGTGTCCAGGTACTCCCTGTGCTCAGTGCAACTTCAAACCACCTTTACTGCACAAACTTCCAGTGTGCCAAACTCCCTGTGATATACGTTCTCCTCACTCTCCCATTAGGGCCCTAATACCATTTAGCATAAAAAGGCTGGGGTGTATGAAAGTATTTATTTGCTCAGGGACGCTAAAATCCTTCACTTTACCACCTTTGCTGGCCTGTGCATCTCATTGTGCAAAGCCCAAGGCTTCTGTCCCAGGACAGAGCCTGACTCCCGGTCATGGCCACCACAGGGCACTGGAGCATGTTGCACCCCCATAGTCCGGGACTGGACCTCCGAGTGCCTCAGGGAGGAGAGAATCTGAGACCCTGTGTCTCATCAGCTTGTTAGCCCTGGATCTGGCCCCATCTGGGAAATAGCATGCTCCAGATCCTATCACTGTTTTTGGCAGCTCGAATTGAGCCAAGAGATAGGGAAGGTGCCAAAAACCACAGCTTTGCTGCTGCAGTGAGTCCCCTAAAGTTTCAATCAGGAGTTAGAGGAGGGGTGTTTTGCTCCCCACTCCTAGGAGAGGGTCAGTTATTAAAGACCTTGTGAGTCACCCTGCTAAACCCTGGCTCAGCCATGCCAGAAACAATCGGGCCTTTGAGCATGCAGTGGGTGCAGCAGTTCCCGTCAGCTGACACTCCTCCATGGCCTCACAGATGCAGTACTGCCAACCACTCAGCTTCAAAGCATTCACATCTTAAGAGCCACTCAGTAAAATTACTTCCTATAAAACATATTTAAACATCTACCACAGGCATTGTCCAGGAAACATGATTACCCTAAAGAGCCCCGTGGGAGCTGGTCCTGGCTCACCCTAAGCCATACAGAGCACTGAACTCCTCCACCCCACTGTAAGACAGGGCTCCCCTGCTACTGCCTAGGGAGTTTTCCTTTGCTGAGGCATATGCTTTCCCAAGCAATGTCTCACTTAGATGTTCTCACCTCCTGGATTCTTGTTTGAAAAGCCAAAGTCAACCGGTGAAGAATAAAATGGTTGATGAAAATGTTTTACTGGAAGATGCATAGCCAGGTATGCTTCAGTGCTTTGAGCACCCAGGGCACAGCAGGAGCAGATGCAGGTAAGGAACTCATTCCAGGTGCCTTGGAGCCACAAAGATGATAGTACCAGTGCTTCCAGCCAGGTTCCCAGGACAGTCCAAGTTGTCACAGAATCATGGAACAGCTGGGGTTGGAAGGGGCCTCCACAGTTCATCTGATTCAACCCCTCTGCTCAAGCAGGGCAAGTGAGGGTTTGTTGTCCAGGACCGTGTCAAGGCAGCTTTTAAATATCTTCAGGGATAGAGACTCCACAACCTCTCTGGGCAACCTATTCAAGTGCTTGGTTACACTCACAGTAAAAAACTGCTTCCTGACTTCAGAGGGAACCTCCTGTGTTTCAGTCAGTGTTTATTGCCTCTGGTCCTGTCACTGGGCACCACTGAGAAGAGCCTGACTCCATCCTCTCTGCACTTCACTTCAGGTATTTGTACATACTGATACTATCTCTCCTGAACAGATGTAGTAACACACACCACAGCAACAGAAATATTATCTCATACATAGGAATATTTATTTTTTCCTTCTTAAAAATGTACAAAAAATAAAATAACTGTATTTACAGTTTATCAAACCCCTCTCCCAGTTGCAACACTATTAAGTTACATGAGCTATATTCTTAATATAAAAGCACACTATTTATACATAAAGTTTCCTTGTTTGCCAGTAAGACGGCTTGTCACAATCTTTGGCACAAACATTCTTGTTTGTATCTTGTCTCAATAGGAAATGGAAGAGCATATAAACATTTAATAAGCTTTACATTTTAAAAGTCATAAGATACTCCTTTCCAGTTCCATTTCAATCAATATACAGCATCTCTGACAGCTAGAGAGTTTAGATTTTACTAATCGTTTGAATTAATTTACAACATTTAAACAATCCATAGAATGAAAGAGGAATATATATAGGAAAGATATTTGATCTCTGAATTCCATTGACTAAAAACTTCATGAGAGAGGACACAGAGGAAGAAAACATTCTTTTCTTCGTAGTTTACATTCAGTGGTAAAAATCCTCCAAAATGTCTTGTGAAGATATGACTGTACATCCACAAAGCTTCATTGAAAGGATGCACTTTATTTTGTGGGTATCAGCACCTGACTGTGAGAAAGAACTAAAATTTGAGAATTTTAATGGGGTTTCATAATAAAACATCAAATGGACGGAAAAAGTACCAAATCTGTAGCAGGAATCAAAATTTTAACTTAGAAGACTGTTCTTCTTTCATACATCTCTATCAGATCTTTCAAAACACAACATCTACAGACACTGCACTACTATAACTCTTCACAGGGAAAATGCTCTGAGCAACAAGCCACACTTAAGCTGCACTAGTTAAGATGCAAGACTGCTGTCTTGAAGAAGGAAAGGAAATGAGAATTTTGTTCCTTTAAATAAACAACCACAGCAGTGCCACAAAGAGACAACAGGAGGCAAGGCAGATATTCCTGTCCCCCACTGAACAGTAGCCAATTCTTACTTCCATTTAAGTCATAGTACTTGGAAGATCCAGCAATAATCAATATTTTTCATTGTTTAATGAAAGCAACATGTATATTTTAACAATATACATGCAAGCACTATGTACTCCTCAAGACATTTGAATCAAGCAGGACATAAAGCAGGCCACTGCTCCAGAAGTTTGCAGTACTTGTACTGTCCCTTTCCCATCACTCTGACAGGATGATTTAGACCAACAAGGTGAACTCCAAGAACTTGTAGCTTGCCACAACCAGCATCCAAGGTTCAGTGCTCCTCCAGCAGCTGATGCTGAAGGGGTGCAGGTTGATATACTCTTTGTAATGTCTTAGTGCTTGCGATGCACCTGCATCTAGAGCAGAGAAACAAAGCCCTTGGACCCTGGCAGATAAAGTTGAGATCATCCTTACCTAGCTCCAGTCATTGTTTTAAAATAATCTTACCACCTATCTACTTGTCTTCCTCAATGCTACTGACTTCATTGAGACTGTAAGAAGGAACTAAAGGCAGGAGTATTAGTTTTCTACTATCAGGAATTCACACACTTTAAGATGTATTTAGAATAGCTTTCAGTTAATCTTGGAAGCAACTTTCCTTCTCTGGACAGTGGCTCACTGAAAGTTCCTAAAATGGCAATGGAAAGACAGCTCCTTAAGCCCTAGTATTTCTGGACATTGAGCTTCTCACTGATCCTACATTGCTCCTTGGTGCAGGATGCTGCAGCACCCAACAGATCCAGCTCATCTCCACGCAGGTGTAAGACAAGAATGTCCCACTAACCTGAGTGCTGATGCTGCCAGGACAGCCTGTCCTTCTCTGTGAGCCCTAAATTCTCACTGTCTCTTCTTAATGCAGCACATGCCAACCTGGGCCAGCCCCAGGCATCACAGGTACTCCCTGTAAGAGAGCTTAGACGGCAGGTTTGTTGGGAGCAGAATTAGGACCCAATTCCTGCATACATTTACTCCTGTGCTTCACCTGCAGCTTCTTCCCAGACGTCATTACCAACTGAGAGATCCCAGCTAACATCCTGAGGATTCCAAACACCAAGAGAGAAATACAAGAACTAACAGCATTGCTCACCAGTCCTATGTGCTGGACCCAGTTTCTAATGCCACCTGTCAAAACTGTCCTCTTTTTTTCCTTAGGAAAAAAGTATCTGGGGTAAGTCAGCATAGATTTTTTTATCTTGGTCTGAGCCAAGTAGAAACACACCGAACCATCACAAATCCCCTGTATTCCCAGGATGTCTGCTCTTGAGCAGAGCAGCAAGAGCATCTTTGTTGGAGTGCATTTTTATAAAAAGTTAAGGAAATTACTACAAAACTCTGCATCAGAAGGCAAAAGAGTGCATGACAAAAAAAGAGAGCAGGAGGAAGACAGAACACACACTTCGCTTTACAGACATATGTGGATTCTGGGTATGTTAGCCCTGACACTAATGGCCGGAACCTTTTATAGTTTCTGGTCCCACAGAAACTTTGACATGTACTTAACATTTCTGTTGGGAGTAGAGACTTTAATGGGATGCTATTGCTAATAAAGTTAAGAAAGTGTGCAATAGCTTGCAAAAACTTGGCCAAATCAGACTGGTCAGCTATCCCAGCTGCTTTGCTTGAATAACAAATAGCTCCACACAGCTCAAAACACTAGAGAGTGAGCCCTGTTAAACTAGGCAGCGTTTCTTTATTCCACTAACCACCTAATAAAAAAAGGTTGTGTGACTGAAGGAAAAAATGTTTCAGAAGAAAAAAAAATAAACTCTAAAGGCTGCATGTAAGAAAGGACCCACACTTCTGTCTGTCACAAAGGACTCATGAGCAGTGCATAGAGAATAAAATGCAGCTGAAAGTCACAGGACTATATCCCGAGTGAGGAGCTCCCTACAATAGCCAGAGGAGCTGGAAAGGAGAGAGAGAGGTACTGTGTTTGGATGCACTAGGGACATTCAGGTCTTGAACCCTTTCCTTGTGATCCTAGCCTGCACAACTTTATTTCTTCACAGAATTCATGAGACAGGGCGGAATTTGATGGGATAACCATGTAGTTCAACTTGGGTTTGGATCCAGCCCTTGTGAGAGAGACCTATCTCCACACCTCAGTTGTGGGATACTCGGTCTGCACGGGCAAAATTATTCCAGTTTTGATAAAAGTATTTACATCAAGCCCAGGTTTATACCTCACCCAACTGTCTTAGGAATCAAAACAGAATCATTAAACAGATACAAGAGCAAGTACCCTTAAGAGGAAGAGTTTGAAGTCCTGTTTCTTACAGTCTAGAGGAATGCTTTAATGAGCAGGCTGCTGCAGAAAGCACCTTTCCCACCACAGGCTTGAGAAAAGGCCGCTTTGGGAGCCTTCCTTCTGTACCTCTAGGCACAGCAGGCAGCAGACATGTGATGCCTCTTGGATTTGGTGACAGCTGGATGGGAGACTCAGGTATCTACAGTGGGGACTCGGGCACCTAAGGTGGGCTCCCTTGTGCCACAGAATTCAAGATGCTGTAGCATGGTTTGCTCTAATATATCAATATATAACTGTGTGAGCAAGGATAGAGCATATGAGTGCAGATTAAATTATCAGTTTCTCAGTACACACCCTTAACAGATTGCAGCAATTTAATCCTCTAGGAAAGATTCTGTTAAACCCTAAACCCAATACATACAAAAACATAGTGGCAGTAAACATGCCCACATACAGTAGTTAAAATATATTATTGCATATTATAAACATTATATACAAGGTTAAAATGGTTTCTTTACCATTTAATTACAAGTGACATTTGTAGCTGAATGCCTTACTTACAAGTCCTCATTGCTACGTGCTGAGAACTACCAGAGGTATTTGGCAAGACTATACACTATATAGAGACACAGATCAGTCTGAGCAAGTGAACTGTCAGCCACTTTCCCCATCTTTAGCACTGCAACAGCTTTGTAGCACTGACGGAGACAACTACTGGTTAAAGTAATTTATACCAGATTTCTGGAACTAGACCAGCATGATTCTTTAACATGTTTTAGAACGAGCTTATCCACACTAAAGTATGGATTAAAATGTCGTGTTTCACATTTGCAGTGGGTCATCTGGTTACAAATCTGGGGGCTGGTAACTGCTTGTACACTAGAGAGTGGGGAACAATAAATAAGGGACCAGGTTAATGTAGGTGGCCTTGTGCTTGACAAACCCAAGTCTATATGCAGTGGGTGCACATGTGCAGAATGGACAGTATTTTAAAAGCAGTTTTGTAACAGTTTCTCTGATCAACATCTGTCGAGTTCCTGGGAAATCTTCTGCTTTCCAAGAAGGATGAAATGCTGTGGTTCCTTACAAAAAGGCTCTGCCTGAGGCTAGATCTCTGTCAGTGTGATCTTGAAGCCTTCAACCATGCTCTCCATGTGCAGGATGAACGTGTCCTCGTTGGAGTAGTGCTCAATAATGTTGTCATCCATGTTTACCAGGATACTGGTGACAAAGGTAAAAATCAATGTTTTTATGAACTGGGACACTGGAAGGGAAAGTCATGCACTCTGCCACATATGCTCACTTCTCTACAACACATAAACAGACTCCAGCACATGCCAGTACAGGGTCACTAGTGGGAATCATCATCAAGATCTGCCCCATAGTCCCTTACAGTCTTTGGATTAGAGGCTGCTCCTTGCTAAAGTAGCTGAGGTAAAAGTGCCAGTGCTGAGATGCTAACACATTTAAGTTGCCTACAAGATGAGCTGCAGTTCAGATCTCTGGCAGACCAAGCTAGCTGGTGCTTCCCATGCCTGGTGTTGGCTCCCCCAGGGAGCGCTACTCCATGCTGCTCCTCAGATATGCCACATGAGCTGCTGCATCTCTGTGTGTGTGAGCTGCTAACACAGGGAAGTAGTGTAATTTGTGGTTTGCACACAGCTCATAGACCGAGAACTCAGTTTGGATGTGAGAATATCGACAACAACTATTAGAAGTGTATATGAGTGTTTTCCTCACTCTTTACCTAAAGTGTTTCTTCTAACAATAACCTGGAAATGGTATTAGAAAGAAACAAACCATGAGAAATTTCACCTGTCTTCTCAAAAGCTAAGGAAATTCCCAGGTACAACAATGCCCTAAGCTAGAGTTACAGCTCTGTAATGAAAATAAATGATTGGTTTAAAATTATATCAGTACAATATTGTGGTTAAATAGAACTGAAAAAAAAAGTTAAAATGGAGACATTTAGATTTATGGCAAGGAGCAGTGGCCTAGCTATTTTAAAAGCCCAGCTGTAATATTCATGTCTAAATTTACTCAGCTGAAATCCCTGCAGCAAACACTGTCTGCCTGTCTTTCAGATTCGGACAGTAGTCGATTTCTTCGTAATACTGCAGGGAAACTCCACACTGCACTCACAGCAAAGACAGCATCTCCCACACTGGTCCTCCATGATGTTATTAAGCATATTGTGTACAAAACAGACTTTATCCAGGTATCTTTTCCAAACACAAACTCTTTCTTCACAGTAAGTTTATGAATACTGGTCCGACATAGACTGGAGATCCATGTTTTCTCCTCTGCAATCCCTTACTGTCTCCACGGACATGAAGATTTCAAGCGCATGGGCACATCTACTTAAAGTGTTTATACTGCCCAGTATCATGAGGCTCCAAGCATAACTGGGATCTCTGAGTACTCCTAAAGGATCCTGAAATAGACCTTTAGTTAGTTAACTAACTTACCCCTTTTTGCTCTTCTTATAAAGCTTTGCAATCTTTTCAACTGGTAGCCCATATTTCTCAGAGATCTGAAAGTTAAAAAAAAATAAAAGAAATATCATTAAAGACTAATGAGAAATACAAAATTATCACACCTTATGTAAGGCATTAAAACAAAATCTCTGCAAACTTTAGAAGGATAGCTATGCAGAAAAGTCACTCACAACCATACCATGGTTGCATTCAAGGATGACTCGGGAAGGAATAATCCCGAACAGCTTGATCAAAACCCACAATTATTTCCATCCAGAAACTTGAAGACCATAGTCTTTATAGGATGTGAGTCATCAAAACTGCCCCAGCATCTCCTACTGCTCTGCTAAAGGAGTCAACACTCTTTCCAGCTTCAGATTTTACGAGAGAATTTCAATCTGATCTTTCTGTTGTTTCTTAATCTGATTTTCTGGGATCATGGAAGCAAAGGCTTCTTCCACCAGGCAGAAGGCAGACATATGGCAACCCAGCAAGAGCTGATGGACTGATGGATCAACAAAAACATGTGCATTTCTATTTCTCAAAGATATTTCAAGGTTTGTTAAGCTAACAGGACTCTTCATGGTGGTACTTTTCTCTGAATAGTATCTTCAAGGTACTTTTTATTGTGGAAGGGCTACCAACATGCTACACAAGTGACTAAGAAGCTTCTGTATTGTTGGGGAGGTGACTCAATCTAGTTACTACAGTGGCAAAATGAGAATGCTTTGTCTCACAAAACATCATCTGAGTGTACAGATAACAACAAGACGAGATGTTGTAGAGAAGTGCGTTAACAAGGAGAAAGGTCTTGTAAAATAAACCTCTTGCCATCTACCCAAATGATAAAGCAGAAAATACAGGAAAACTTCAGAAGGAAGAACTACTTAGCTGACAAATTACCAATGCCAACAAGTACTTCGCTGCAATGGTTTGGCACTGTTTTGCAGCAACATATTAGTAACTTTTTTGAATGTTCATTCTTCAGTGAGTCTGTGGTATGCTCATGAAGAGGGTGTGCCTGAGCTCTCCACCTGAGCCACATTTCCTTTCCAAATTATGACTCTTCTTTGAGGGAACAGGTCTCACAGCTCACACTTTAGAGATGGATTGTCCCAAAAGGCAAAATAATTACAGAAAAATTATTTTTTTGTCAGTGATTAATGTTTTGTGGTACTTTACTGCCAAGCAAAGTAAGTTTCCAGCTCTTCCTAGGTGAAATGAAATTGCAGCTAAATAGCTGACTACTCATCTTTTGCATTAGAGAACTGAAATGCACACTTAAAAATCCATTTAAAGACTATCAAACATCAGTCACTGTAAAATCCTTTCTTTGTGTTTGCATTCAGACTTACACTGAGATAACGCGGTATTTTCAAGAAGTAAATTAAAGCAATTATCATGAAGTAGAAAACAGAAAGCAAGCAATGGATAAACTCAGTACTGAGGAAAGAATCAAACAGCCACAGGTTGAGCCCCAGGCACGGCTTCCTTCCAGAGAGCCAAGATTCCCTGAGAGAGAGAATTAATTAGCCTGTACTTGCCTACATCACCTATAATTGTATAATTGTCATCTAATCCAAGATACAATTTTGTGCTTAAAAAGTATAACATAAGTCCAAGATTCTGAAGAACCAATAAAATTTCTTTTACACTGCAAACACTCTCCTCTGACGGTGTTAGCGTACATCTGTGGCTAACACAAAGGGAGTAACTGATAAGGTACACTAGACCCATCCACTCCCTAAGCTTTCCACCAGCAGAGAACAAAATTCAAACTAAATTTGGGTGGTGTTTGTTACTTCAGTTTTACTTGCACCAGCATGTTTCATTGCCCTTTTGGATATGGTGCTGGACATACTGATTGTAGTCCTGGTTCCATGTTCTCACCTGCCTGGAGAGAGGCCTAATTCTGCATCAAGGCTGTGCAAGCTCCCATTCTGTACAGTCACATTGTCTCTGATGTGGCGAGTGATCCACTTTGCACATGTATGAGAAGAAGAGCTTCACCCTACTTGTCTTATACCTCACACAAGCATCACCACTACCAAACTACAAAACAAATCTTTTCCACTCTGAGTTCCATGTAGCCTATGCAAAAGGCTCTGTGTAGCCTGTGGAAAAGCTGTGTAACCACATTACTCTTTCTTATGCTCCAGCTTTGCTTACCATGAATGGAATTATTTTGTTGTACCCTTAAATTTAAGCTTTCATGTAAAGCAATAATAAAAATGGCTCAATTTCATTAGATTGTTGAAAAAATCCTCTGTAACAGGCATCAGAGAAAACCTGTTACCTGAAACTGCAGAAAACGTCACAACTGTGTGAACATGAGGAAACAATTTATCTTCCTTTCTGGATTGTTAACTCTGAAATCTAGTGATATTGTAAAGATCAGTACTTGAAGACACTTTTCACTGACTCCATGCAAATAAACAAGCAGGGCAAAACATTCCTGTGCCAAGAAGGTTTAATAGCAGCTAATATACAGCATTCTGCACATTCCAGCATAAATCTTCCCTAGGATATTTGGGATATCTAACACTCATGCATTCCAAATGTTGCTCGAAGCAGTTTGGGACTCTGAGGCATCACTTCCTACATGAACTATGAGAGGCTGGGCTGAGAAAGCCTTGCCTGTCACACTGCCTATGACAGGTGTAGGATTTATATAACATGCAGGGATTAGTGAGCTTTGCGAAAGACTTCCAGCTGACTGAATAAGCACATTTCTCAGGAACCCCTAAGGATTTGACCAATTATACCAAACAGCAAACTGTGGAAGCAAGGCTCAAAGTGGGGGTATGGGAGAGCCTCCTCCTCACAGATTCAGAAAACAAGACTCCAGCACAAATGTGCTAAATCCTGATGCAGAATCCGAGAAAGCAGAGCCAGCATCTGCTGGGGTTTCTCACTTAACACCCTCTTCTCAGCGTGTTTGTTGCCAATGAAGGAGAACACCACTACTGCCAACTTCCATACAAAACAGGATTTCTCACCTGACCCCAAGCAGGATACATTAAATTTTAATGACATCTTTATTTGGACAAATATTTTTCCTTATCGTGTCCATTTCCCATTTGCCAATCTTCTGAGCAGAGAATTCTTTCTTTCCCTTGGGATGCTCAAAGCAGTGTGACAGCCTTCAGACTGGAACTGAAATAGCTGTTTGGGTGCCCCTTCAGGCTGAGGTCCCTTGGCATGGCAAGTTTGCACAGTTTGATTGCACAGTCCAGCAGAAATGCTCTCTGCTGGAGTCAGGAAGACAGAAAGGGCAACTCCTGGGCTGGTCAAGGCATGTAGGAAAACATGTTTGCCAACTTATTTCTATGAAAATAGAAATTTGAATGGAATATTGAAAATAGAAAATAGAATTGGTCTGGTCTGTTGCCCTACATTGGTTGGAATATCACATATATAGATATGTACCTCATAAACTTCTGTCTAAGCTACGTTTACTGAACTCATCTGTTAGTTTTTAATTATAGAAAAACTTTGGGACATTCTTGAATTTCCCAAATCTGTCTACCTTCTGCAATTTGATAAATATGTGATTCTGCGCAATATAAGACTAGGGTACCTACTGAGATACCCAGAGTTATCCTGACTTTGGATCAGGCTGAAAGAAGGATTTAGAGCTGGTCAGTCACCACACATGTGATATTTTGTGATGGAAAATTGTTTCGCTATTTTCTGTTGATCAAGACTGACTAGTGAAAACCAAACATTTGCATCACTTCCTGAGAGGTACTGTATTTCTGAAACCTGAGACCTCCAGATATTTGCCAAAAGAAAGAAATCTGAGAAGGAATCTAAGTGTTCATTTGGAATGGGGGTATATGTGAGAATAAAATAAACACAGGATCTGAGAAAACAATATAATTAATAACAGAAAATTAGGAGAAAGTCACAGACCAGGAATAGTGACTAATGAAAATTAAAAAAAACATAAAATCCATAAACAGAGAAGGAGGGTATGATTCAGGATCACTGGAGCTCTCTTTCAGATCTGGAGCTCTGTAATGTCCAGAGGCTCAGTTTTTAAGTTCTTAGTACTAAGTTTAGAATTGAGCATTTAGGATGTGCACAATTACAAAATGACATGATTTGTTGAAATTACTGTAGAGACAGTATCTAAGAATATGCAGATTGACAGCTTTCTGGCAATGGTTTATCCACAATATCCTACCAAAGAGAATTAAAATTTTCTGAATGTGTTCCTTCCAGTGAACTGAGACACTTTACAACAGATTAGATTTCTCTGGTGCCAAAACACGCCAATGAGTCAGCAGCTGTGCTGACTGAAGTATGCAGAAACCTTTCCTGCTTCTGCACCAGCTTTATTTTTGTTACATGGTGGCTGAAGAACAGGCATGGAAAAGCACAGACTACTGGAGATAAAATATTCATGCAAGCTTGAAAGGTTATAGAAGGATTATAACATACTTTTAACTTCCATACAAAGACAAGATGAAATCCTGTTACAGCTTACCATGAATCAGACTGCAGCCTCTTCAAGCAAAGCCTGGTTTTTGTTACACATGTGCTCTGCCTAACAACTGAGCTAACAAACAGTACTTGCAAAAGCACAGTTAGGACATCCTTAGCATGCTGCTGACACTCCTCAGAGATACCCTGACCTGAAAAGGTGCTTTAAACAACTTCACTAACCCACAAATCTTTTTCTGCCTTCTGCTACTGGCCAAATATTGACCAAATTACTTAATCTTTACTGCATTAGAAGTGTTTGGTACATGCAACAAGACACTGTGACAGTTTTAAGAGAATATGAATATACACACTTCTAGCACTTGGTTGAGCTCTCTAGGGACACTTTCATCCATTTCCATCTTCTCTCCTACACGTAACCAAGGCTGGAAATTAACTCAGCATCCCACATGTCAGTCTCAAATTAGTCTCCCCACTGAAGCAGTGAGACACATGGTTACTTAACTCTTCTCTCACCAAATTTCACATATCTACTAGCCATCAGCTCATTTAAAAAGGATTAAATAGGGAAATAGCAACTCTAATGATGACAGCTTATGGCTTACAAGCAAATACTCAAGTTAAACAAGTAGCAAAGAGGCAGGTGGTAGGTAGGTCACTCCATCAGTGAGAGTTAAAGAAGGAATTTGAGACAAGGTATGAATGACAAGTCTGCAGTGGCTCAGCACCTGCCTCTTGCATGCTGGAAGAGCAACTGCACAAAAGCCATGTGAAATTCACACAGAAAAAGTTCATCTTTGGATCTCTTCTTGAAAAGATGGCTGTGAACATACTGATGGGCAGTATGGGAAAAGATTCAACAGGTTCTGAGCCATCAATTAAGAAAGAAGTATTTCAGAAAATGAAGCCTGCACCTCTCTGCTTCCCTGATACTGGTTAATTACTGCCATTCCTCAAGGCTCATGTCTCCAATAACCAGCTCTGTGACACTTTAATCCCAGCAACCTGATGTCAACACTGAATTCAGAATATGCCAGCATTTAGAGGTGTGCTCCAGAAAGGCTTTGTGAAATGCTTTAAATGCACCTGAGAACATCTTTATGTTACGATTAAGATCAATACTACATGGAAAGCCTGAAGATTTTCTTGCCAAGAAAGACAAACAATGCGAGGACATTGGATACTTACAGCTTCCATTAGCCCCTTTACTGTGGGTGATTTCAGCATCAAAGCATCAAACACCTCATCTGTCTCCTTCCTCACATACAAAAGCACTGAAATAAAAAAAAAGTCAGACTTGGAACAGGTTCAGTCAGTTGCACAGATGAAACACCACATGCTGAGCAGAAAAACAAATATTAATCCATGACAGATAGAATGAAGCACTGAAGATGGTTTGCACTTAAAAAAAGGTACTTTCAATATCATCAGTGATCTAAACATGAACAACATATCATAGTTGCTTTGAGAACATAGTAATGAAAATTCAGTTATTTTAATATAATGTGAGGAATCTGTATCTTCCAGAATCTAAATCTCTATTTACAGTAAAAAGCTAAAAAGCACTTGGGCCCTGTCTCTCAGTCACAGGACAAAACACACAAGCTAGGTCTTCCTAAAAGCTGTGTTTTGGCTTGTACCTCTCCAGGCTTCATCTAAAAGGCTGGGAAAGGACATTCAAAAAAAGCAAGTCTGGTTTGTCTTAAGCTATGCCTTTGAAAACAAAATCAATGAAAAAGGAAAGAAATAGTTCTGTCTGACATGACCATGCAGATGACTACAAACGGCCTGACCAGTCTGAAAATAAACACTGGGAAAATGAGTTCAAAGTCATTTGAGACTTTACAGAAGAGACATTCAAGAGCATAGCTGGCAGGCAGGCATTTTCAGGTACCCAAATGCCATTTCTGTTGCTGTTCCTCCCTCAGATGCCTTCCCGGGTCTTAGTCATTCACAGGTGCCCTGCCCTCTCTAGCTCTTGTTTTTTCCTGACTAGTACAGGTAAAAGGAGGAAACTTGCTGCTACATGGCAAAAGCAAAGCAGACAGCTACAAAGCAAATAAGCATAAACACTAGAATAGTGTTCTAGGCATAATCTCACAAGACCAATAAGTAGAAGGTTAAATATGATGTGTTGCAATTTATTTGGTTCCTAAATAAACTGCCTTTTCAAATAGCAGTGCTGTACATGAGGTACAAACACACATGCACTGTCAGGTATTTTATGTCACAAATTGCACTGGTAATTTTTTTTTTTTTTGGTAGACATCTTTTGAAATTGCAAATTCTTGCAGTCCAAAAGATATCTTCACCAGGTAACTGAATAGATGACATGCATATGAACCAACAGAGATTTTTCATACAGAAGCAAGTGTTTTGAAGCTAATTCTCAGGTCAAGACTAGCAGGGTGGACTCAGGTCCATATGCAGAGAATTGTAGCTTCTTTGCCCAGGTTTTGAAATGATTGAAGAAAGACCTAAAATGTGGGCAGATCAGTGCCCTGTCTTGGTCTACAAACCAGAAATACAGGACAACAATGACATTTTTGCATCTCTGATTCAGAAATACAAGCCATAAAACTGCTACCTGCATTCAAAGCCACATCCTTTTCACCTACATTTTAGCAACTCTTTGGGACCTGCCTGAGAACATCCTTTTAAAGGACTTAGAAGCTGAGATAACTTTGAGTCACAATCTAAATAACTGTCCGAATGTAAAAGAACAAAAAAATCCACATGAGGAGCAAAATTTTACGGGGTCTGATATGTTTATTTGCATGAGCAAGCACTCACTCAAAGTGCTAATTTTACCAGTACTAACACTTATATTCATTTAGTAATTGCTTCCTTGTGACTAGAAGACTGTCCTGTAATTCCTGGCTTTACAAACATCTGGACCTCTGTCAGCCTTAACAATTACAAACATATCTGAAAGGAGCAAAAAAAATCACTTGGTCCAAGGTTCAAGTTGGGGACATTACACAATCCCAGTGCTGAGCTTTAAATCTCTCTGTTGTGCTTGGTGTGCCAGGCAACATTATGCTGAATGAAGGATCCGTTACAAAGATAACAGGAACTTGAATCACTATTATACACTCAGAGAGCCAGGATTAGTAAATGTATGGAGGCTTGTTGTTTTTTTCTTTTCCCTGACAGGTGTGAAAATCCTGGCTTTGATTCACTAGAGCACTTTTTCCTAAATGACTTCTGGTGGCAGTGATGCCTTAGGAAGCCCCTGACTCATCTCCACCCTTTTGGTCTGTTACTCTGGCCCATCTCAATGAATTTTCCTGGATGAGGAACTCTTTCGAAAAGCAGATGTGAGTGAAAAAACAACCCTTTTTTTGAGCTGTTCTTCAAACAGATCAGATCCCTGCTTCAGTGTACAATGCAGCCCCACCAGCCTCCCTGCTGGCAGAGCTGTGGAGAGGTGGGCAGGTGGCCTGGAGCAGGAGGCACAGCCAAGGCAGAGAGAGAGGGGCTGCAAAGACTCCAGTGGACTCAGCAGCAGCACTGCCACTGAATTCCTGTGACTATGTAATACAAGTCATATTTATGCCCTCTGATCCTACTGTCCCCATGTTCATGGCATCTAGATGGGTTCACTTTAATAGTACAGATTACAATATTTGGAAGGGGGGCAGACATCTTGTACCAGGTAATGAGCTATTTTTGACTGAGAGTTAAAAGATAAATTCAAATTTGTCTGACCTGTACACTACATGGCCTTATTCTTACCATTCTTACCAACACTGAAATCCACTGTAGTCCCTAATATTCTTTAGATGTTTAAAAGAATTGCAGAAGATGGTGAGTAATAAATTTATCTCTAGTTACTTAAGAAATAGCCCCAATACACCAAACAAAAGAGTGGCAAACAGCCTTTACTGAAGGCAAGCAATGTTGTTGCACCTGGGAGATTTTTGGAAGCCAGGTCACCAAGCAGAGGATTTATGTGTGAATGCAGAAGAACATGTTAGATACCTCTTTTAAAAGTGTTAACAACAACAGACATGTGGCAAAAATGAAACTAAGGACACAATGGGACAGTAAGACTTGGGACATTAGGAAGGTCTGAGCCCAGGCACTACCAATGCTGTGACTAACACCCTATGAACAATGACTAATGACTACGGTCTGTGTAAAGTGGTCTCTGGATGAAGATGTGGTACATCTTAGTCAAGGACAGTAGGGCTGGTAGCTCTGACCAGGCTTTCCTTTCTCACATTTGGAGTTTTTGCTACTGCCCAGGCACAAATTCCCTTGGTGACAGTGTGAATGCTGTCCTTCACAGGGATGGTTCACAAAACTCCAATTGTTATGAATCCAAAATGTTTCAGTGTAGTTTAACATGACTTTCCTGAGAGACAAAGGCTAAACAAAAATACAACTTTCTTTAAGCTGAGAACTACAGGACTGGAAATCAACCTGACCTCAACTTAGCTGCTGGATTTATAATTAACAGGAAACTCCCCATGAAATCTGAAAGGGAAAGTGATTAGAGAACTCAAAACAGGGAAAGACCACGAGTCCAGCCAAGTAACTAGCAACCTTGCACATTTGGTACAGATTAACATACTTCACATTTCTGTGTTGGTCACTTGTACCTCTCTCAGAGGTCAAGGAGAGGAAAGAACAATCCACAAAGATCCAGCAACCTGAGTGAGAATATGAACCTTGTTTTCATGTAGTTTGCAAACCGCTTTTAACCTGTTCTCTTGACTGCCCCTTAATACCTTTGCTTCTGCCAGACAGTGTTACAATTAGGTCCATCAGGCAGAGGTGAGGCTACACACTGTCACTTCAGTTCTTCAGCTGGGCTTGGACCCCTCACTAGCTGCTACTTGCACTGCTCTGCTAATGAGCCACTTGGGATTATGTTGCTTTTAATGCATATTTTCATGTATCAGATCTGCTCTCTCTCAGATGTTACATCAGTGTTCCATCTATACTGGCTCTCTAGGACTTGTTGATTCCGCTGTACCAAACAAATCTGGGAGAAAAGAAGCTTCTGATATGGCTAAGCTGGGGGTAAAAATCCCTAATCATTTTAATACTCAGTGACTCCTGTGGCAAAGACAGCATTATCAAATGGGTAGATTCAGTTTAACTCCATCAGCACAATCTCAGATGCAGGGTTCCGGATGGCAGGAAGTTCACCAGAGCAAAGGCCACACTGGAAAAGGCTTGGCCTCCAGCCAGCATAGTCCAAGTTGCAAGAAACACTGAACAGGAAGGGGATGTGAAGAGAGCATCCTCCAGCTCCTCTAGTTCCGTGTCTCTCCTGGATTTAATTAGTTAACATAGTTTTGCCACCAGTTAACTTTTTTTCTTTCTAATCTTACCCTTGAAATGCTTGCAAGTCCTGGATAATATTAAAACAACTAACCACAGCAAAGGACAGGAATAATCAAAACAAACCAATACCTCCTTGCAGGCAACTTCCCAGACTTCCAGCTGGGAAACCCAGGTGAAATTTTAGGAAATGATAGTTCTTTACATAGCCCTCATAACTGTCCTCTTTTGCTCGACAGAGTCCTGATACTGTGAATTTGGCCAAGGTTTGAGTCAACCAGATGCAAGTCTGTGGTCAGTGCTGACCTCAGAGGTCAACATAATTAATTTAAGATTTAATTAAAATAAGAGTAAGTTCACATTTATTCCAAGAAGACATCAGTCTCCATCCTATAATCTTCCTCTGGTTCAAGTACACCACCCTAACCAACCCAGAAACTTGGCAAATGCAGGCTCATTGGAAGTTATTTCTATAAAGCTCAAAGGAGTCTTACAAATGGTCAAACTAAGAGTCACTTCTGTGCCTTGTTGATTTGTTGTCTCACAAACTGATGGGTGAACTTCAAAATAGGCGAAAGTTTGAGTCATGTAGGTTGGTCAAACCCCTGGAGTCTCCAATAAACTTATATAACAGAACTCGTGAGACTGAAGGAATGGCAGATATTGTCCACAGTGTTTAACTGTGACAGTGTAGGAAGTTATCACCGATAGCACTGCACTGGAAGAGACTGTACACAAAACTGATTTTGTGAACAAACCCACCTTCAGTGCAAAGTTTAACAGCTCTACCAAAACCATTGCTTCAATGTTATTCAGCTTAAGCTTAACTTGTAGCAGACTGGCAAAACAGCAGTTGGTAAAGCATATGAAATGTAATTGTAATAATATTCTCTCAGACAGTAAAAAAGTTAAGGGAAACAAATTCTTTAAAATTCTATTAGGTCTACTGGAAGATGTCTCTCCATGCCTTATATTTTTAATTGGGTAGGAAATTTCTAAGACTCTATTCCAGCTAATCTAAGTCTGCAGCCAGCAGGAGCTTGCCTGTTAAGGTCTCTGTATTTGACCTAGTCCATCTTGTATATTTGCTTGTGATCCCAGCCAGAACAGAAAAGATGAGTAAAAGCTAAAAATAGACAATCACAGATCTGCTACTGAACTATGTAGCTTGGTCAAGGATCAAGAAACTTTCCAGTTTTTTTATATTTTATATACACTTGTGTCCTGATCCCTTCTTGAGAGAGCACAGTCTTTTTTTTTTTAATTATTATTTTTTCTGCTTTTAAGTCATTTCTAGCATGCAAAGATCTCTTCTCCCATCTACCTACATTTGCACTAGCATTCAACAATTGACTCTGTCCGAGCCACACCTGCCCTTCCAAGCTTGAGGGCTTGAGTTCCACAGAATTATTTTTAACTGCTAATTGACTGTTACCTCTTTTCAGGCCTTCTTCTTTCACTTGTTTCAACGGGGATGGACCAAATTCCTCCTCCACAGGCCGGAACATCCTTTTGACCAGGACACTGCTACTAGAATACACAAAACAGGAACCATGTCACAGTAAAACTATGCCCCCAGAAGAAGAGGAGACAACAGCAGCAGTCATGACTCACTTCGTACTCTGGCAAAAACACCCACTAGCTGCTCAAGTGGCACCAGAACAGAAACTGCAAGGATTTAGCTTCTGATGCTTATCTGAACTATCCAGGTCTCTTAATTACCCAGACTGACTGTCTGGGACAGGTGACAGGAAAATATGTTCCAATGTTACTCACTAATTTGAAAATCCCAAAAGCCCTTAACTGTTAAATACTGAGGGAAGGGGGGTGGGGAGGAAGAAACAGCTAAGTAAGGAACCAAATCCACATTTGCACATTGATTCACCTTCTCTTTGGGGTAAAGGACACAGCCTCAGGAAACACGAGCAATATCTCTAAAATCCAAGACCATACTAGCCAGCAAATTCAAAAGGAATAACGTGCTGGGCCAGATCCAACCCAAAGCTGCAACATGCTCCATCAGGGGAGCTGAGGGCTGAAGGAACAATGGCTGCCCCCTCTGCTTGTCATAGCCCTGGCAGGACCTGGAGTCCTGGAGAAGAGAAGTGGCGCAATAAACCCCTTTGTTTCTCAAATTACACTGTGAGCCTTGTGAAGAATATTAGTTTCATAAAGCAAATAAAAAGGGCCTCACGTTTTCAAGTCCATGTCGGCGGCAGTGCTTGGCCACTCCCTACCACAGATCACTTTTTGCAGGTTTATGGGACTGCAGTTGTCTTACTCCAAACTCTCAGATTTAAGGGTGTTCACTTGGGATTTAAGCAACTTACAAAAGTATGGGGTTTGTGCACACTGTGGGTTGAACTTCAACCACCCATATTAAAGCCCTTATTTCATGGCATCTCTTAACTATTAGAGGGACTTTCACCAATTCTTCCAGTCCCTCCGAAGTCAGATAGGGGGTGCTCCCATTTCCAACCTTCCCCCTTTCCAGGATCTCCCGCTCTCTTTTTGCTCTTCTCTTCTGGCACTTGGCCATTCTCTCTGCAGTTCCTGTATTTGTCACTTGTGTGCTGCTAAACAGCTTTCAGGAATGCAGTGAAGTTTGGTGCTTCATTAAAAGATTCCTGGTTTTTAAAGTATTTGAGAATCCTTGTGCATATATAAAAGGCATTTCATTATCAAATATATTGTCCTATCCCTGTATTGAACCTTATGGCCCTTTAAACTGTTTTACTTGGAAATTTATTAAAAAACAGATATAAAAAACAGCCAGTTCACATGAAGGAAAGAAAGCTACACCACAAAACAAACCTCCCTCTACCAGTTCTATATATTATTCACCCTCCATAAGCATTGGGATAACACGAGGGAAGGGGGAAAAAGGGCATCAGTTTTATCTTATTTTGTGTTTTGTGTCTTCTTTCTATGAGTTTGAACTGCTAACTGTAAAGCTTGTGAAACAATGAATGTCTTACCCTTCTCTCTCATCATCTGTATTATAGTAAACCTAGAAGGATAGAAATAAAACCCAACAATTATTCCCAAAACTCAGACATTTCCTTAACAGAATAACTTCAAAAGGCAGAAAAGACAAGTGGTTTGCAGGTTTTTTATATATTAAAAATCCTTTTCCTTCTATAAAACAAAAACATCTCAAATTCTAATTGTGATATGGAAAAAGGGTGGCTTAGAGAAAATGCTGTTGAATATCTAGTGGAAACATATCAAAGTATTTTTGAAAGGCATTGTCCTCTCCCCTGGTTCATATGATTTTCCCAATTATTTTCCAGTCCTCTAAATCAGATAACTACTTACCTAAATTAACCCTAATACAGTTTAAGCCAGAACACTTTAAAATTTTTCTCTGTCTTTAATACTATCTGAAAATCTAATAAAACTGTAGAGAGTTGTATTTTAACTACAGGCCTAATGGATATACAATTACTAATGGTACAGCTGAACATTTTTTGCGCAGGCTGTGAGCGGAAGCTCAAATCCAGACCACTGTTTTGTGTAAATCCAAACAGCTCACAGTCACTGGGACCAAATTTACAACAGCAGCAAATGCTGCTAACAATAGCAGGGGAGGTATAAAATCACAGTCTGCTGTCAGAGGCTTTACACAACAGCCAAATTCCTTGCACTGTGCCAGCACTGCAGGACTGCACCAACAAATGTGCCAGCCCTCCCGCTGCTGAGCTACTGAAGGCAGGGCACCAGAGCTCTGTGTTCTGCTGCAGCAGAGCAAGGCATCTCAGACAGGTTTCTAGCACTTGTGCTGGCAAGACTCAGAGCACACTTGGCTCTCACTGAGAGCCTTTGGTTCTGAACCTGCACAATGAAAATAGCTCAGAGGTGTGTGTGTGTGCAAAGCCAAGGTCTGTAACTCATTCTATGAGTTACAGCAATAAAAGACATGGCTGAACATTGCCTAAGAGCTAGGAAACTGGGGTATCTTCCAGTTAGTTTAGAAAATTATTTACAGGATTACATTTACTAAGGAATGCTTCCACCTTCTCCTGTCTTAAGACAAATCCACATTCTGGTTTGAAAACCATGAGGACAGAAGGTACCCAGCACTGATATGTGAGTGGGCGTCTTTCCGATTTTGGAGAGTAAGTCAGTGACAGCTGTGACTGCAATGTCTGCACTCTTTGTGCTTTGCTCTACCACAATTCTCACTGCTTTAAAATAACTGACAATTCCAAGAGTGTCATTGAATCTTCATCATCTTAATATTTAAACACATGCATAAAAGTCTCATTCTACTCCCTGAGATGTTAATAAATAACAGGTTCATAGTAAAAAAATTGTCAGAGCTGACCCTCCAATTCAGGTTTGCAATTTCCCAGCAAGCGATAAAGTAGAAAAAAGTCAAGTCAGCAAAGACTTCCTAATGTTTACTGGCTATGATAATTGGCAATACTGAATATTAACATTAGCATGACAGTTTTACTTGGTAGAGTGAAAATATTTTTTCCAAGGAAAAAATTTCCAGTTCTCTAGATAATGCCAACAGAAAATGGAAAGTGGTGTTCAGTGACCCTGCTCTCGACCTCCCTATACATGTAAGAGCTTGGTCTTTGTCTTCAGTTGTGACAGGGAGGGGGATCTCTGCTACCACAAGGTGGCACTTCATTTCATCTAGCCAAAGAGCACACTCAAAACCAGACTTTATTTCAGTCACAGATCAACCTATTTCAAAATTCTTGACTATTTGTTCCATTCTTTCTTCCCAGCAAAAGAATAACAAAACCATAACAAACACAAACTAGTCAGTTGTCAATGAAGTATAAACTCCTTCACACCCAGAACTCGGAAAGGTACTTATCCCTTTTAAACTCTTGTATATGTGACTCACCAAAAGTTGTGTTTATAAAAACGAGAGCTGAAACAAGCACCCCCAGAACAGCGATTTTATTTTCCTAAAACCTGCCCTAGAGCAGGGGCAGACAGATGGCAAGTGGGCACCAGCTCATCTCATTATGATTTCCTACCTGTCCAGTTCTTTGTAGGTTTCCAAAGTGAACGTCTGGTATGAAGAGAACTGGCTGGGAATCCAGGTCAGCCATTGTTTTGAAGAAGGTGATATCACTCTTTTTCTGCAGAGGGAGTGCACTCAACTTCCCTTCAGCTGCAGATCACAAAGCAACATGGTTGTGAGAGGAGGCATGTTAAGCATGACTTAGCCCCAGACCAGAAAGGCCCATCTTACTCACCATTATTACACGAGGCTTGGGATGCCTGGCCTTTGCCCTTCTTCCTGTTCTGCTTCCTCTCTTCATCTCGGATTTTCCTTTCTGCTCCCTGTGCAAAAAAGACAACCCACAGATATTATTACCCAAAGAGGAACCACTGGGAGCATCGTAGTTAGCAACGCCTGGAACTACAGCAGCTGACATATCAGAAATGCTGAAACAGAAACTGGTTGTTCCATTGCAGATAAATCTGTTCCACACTGTTGGAAAGGTACAAGCTTCGCATCGATCACCTGTGCCTGAAACTCAAGCTGGCACAACCAGCAGCTCCCAGGGCTGCAGACAGCAAGGGGAACATATCCACACACTGGTTTGGAAAAGCCAGGATGGACAGTTTATGCAGCGTGCAGTCTCTAGCAGGACTGATGCCACCACAACTTTTGCAAAGCCCAGTGTCTCTGCAATGGACAGAATGCTCAGGCCAAATACTTTGTGTATGTAATGGCATAAAACACCTGCAGGATTGTTACCATCCTAGGTCATGTCTATGATAAGCTTTTCCCTAAACTCTCCTCCACCCACTTTGTCTAGGGGTGGCATTGCTTCACTGCGGCCAACTGTGCAGAGGCCTTTGAGATTTGACAGTGCAAGAAGGCTATGCTGACAGGTTACCAACAGTGCAAGGGTTCTTACAGAAAAATACAGGCATTTCAAAGAGGGAAAAGCTCTCCAGAAATGGCAAAGCAATGTAGCACTGCCTTACTGCACCAGGAAGTCCTGGGAAGTTGCAGGCTTCTGTTATGTAAATACACTCTCAACAAGTTTAAAAAATAAAATTTGTTATTGACATAAAAAGCAGCAACACCTCCTTTGAAGTTCTCTGGATTTACTTTATAAATAATACCCATCACATTGTGAAGAGTATTAAAGATCCATATGCTCCTAGACAGTCGGCATGCAAGATTACAGATTTTTTTTTCCAAACTAAAATTGGAAGTTTCTTGAAAAGAAAGGGGGGGAGGGAGGTAAGGAAGCCAAAAATACCCACTCAAGATGGCAAAATTCACACATGAGCCAATGAACCAAGCTTGAAAAGAATGCAAGGAAAGATATACTCCTGGTTGTGATCTAGCAATAGATTTCTAGAAGCTGAAATAAATGGAGGAAGAAACAGCTCTTTAAAAAACATGAAGATGTCAAACAGAAACCTTGTCTCCAGACCCAGGTCCCAGTCCGGTTGTCACTGACCTCAACTGCAGACGCCAGAGTTATGCCCTTATCAAAATTGTTTTTAGGGGTACATTTGTATCTTTAAAGGTCACCTGTTCTTTGTAAGAAAGGAGCAAAATTATGCATCACAGCCACTGTCCTGTGGCACATCCTTGAGAGCCCTGTGCTGCACAAAGGGCTCTGCCAGGTGGCCACAGCCCTACCTGCCCTCAGTGCTGCCTCTCTGCTGCTCAGGGGGAACAGGAGGAACCATGAAAGCATTTCATACACGGCAGCAAGCACAAGCTTCCTCTCAGGCAAACAGAAACTGAGTAGGACTCAGACTTTATACATGATAAAAAATATGTTTTACTGATTTTCTGTGATATTCTTTGTAATTATGAACTTGGTAAAGGTTCACAGCTCTCTCATTATTCATTCAAGGCAAGACACCTCGAAGTTCTCTTGCATACAGGTAATCTCTGAGCAGGGCAGTCATTCCCACCCCCCAGTGTTTATTTGTGCCACAGCCACTTTACAAATGAGGCAACTGCAATACCCACAGAACTACCTACCAGCCCTTTTGAGCTAGGAGCAACCCACATGGCAGGGGCCAGCCAAGCCTACATGATGTACGCCACTGTCATAGGGGCTGAGACAATGGACCACAAAATGATTTTTGCATACAAGAGCATTTCCGCTGCACAGTTTTGACAGCTGAGCCATCTGACACATATCAAGTAAACCACAGTTTGCATGTCTCTTCAGAACAGAAGAAATAATCCTCTCATAGGGGACTATAAACTAGGCTCTGACCAGTGAAATAATGAAATGAGTTTTTCAGTTTTTCATTGATATATATTGACTTTGTATAAATTCAATTAGTACTACTAGTACTTCTGCTACTAACCATTTGTTAAATGCGGTCTATGAACTTCAGCTGATTGAAAATATTTTTTTCTTAAGTCTTCAACTCACTTAAGCTGAAGTCTCGCATTCTAGCTCCAGCCTGGCAAAGCCTTTGCCATGGTAAGGACCACTCCCATCATCCTTATAAAGCTCATGGAAACACCTGCTTGTAGTTCTAGGCCAAAGTATTCCACATCTGGTATGGCAGGTGCATAGACTTCAGCCTTTTTCCCTCTAAAGCTGAAGATTAATAGGCAATTGGAATTGCTCAATACTCTATGATAATCCATGTTCTCTGTGACAATACATACTGAAGACAAGGAGGCAGGAACTGCATATATTTTAAAGAACATGTGGTTTTTCAGAGTAAAGAAAACTGGATTAGTTTATTTTATTTTGGAACAATGTTATGATATTTGCCAAGTCAAATGCTTCTGCTTCTTTTTACCAAAGATAATCACATAAAGAAAATCAAAGTATCTCTGAAGCCCAAGTTCCTTCATACACAGTGGCTAAAGCATCTTGCAATATATAAATATAAATAAACCTGGTAGCAAGTTTCCCTGACAACCTACTTAAGGAATAAAAGTTATATATTCTTATCATAATGCAGCATCAGTGATCTGCACAGGATAAAAAGACTACAAGGGCAGAGAGAATTAGCACTGAGAAAATGAGATGTGCACTGTAACAGATGCTTTGAAGACTGCCTATGGAAAACAAACACAGACAAAAGACTGGAGAATGAATAGAGAGTAAGGACACAAAACCTCTGTAGCATTTATCTCCATACATTTATGTCACAAAGCACACACTGGATGTGAGTTGGTGTTACTCTCTAGTTTATATATGTAAATTAGTATTACAATTAAGCAATTGCCAGAATAAATACTAAAATACATGTAACACATACCACTTGACTAAATGCAGTTTTATTTCTTCAGGGATAACCCTTACCACAACAGCTATGCTGTACTTCAGCTACAGGACATTAATTTATTTACTGTGCAGTTCCACTGATCCAGATGACTGTAACAAATCAGGCACTTTTCTCATCAGCTTCTCTTTGAGGTTGTCAGATTGGGGCATAACAGCGCAGTTCACGCTTTTAAAATTATAAAAATTATTATGTTTGCTGGTTTTTTTTAAATGGTCCTATTAATACGTCTTTAATTGATCATGACAAAGAGGTGGGCAATAACCATCTCAGCTTCATAGCCTTTTCCAAAGAGGCAGAAAGCCCCGTTCATGTCCCTGGAGGGTGAGCTACAGGCTGACAAGAGAAGCTGAACCATTTAGCACCACCTTAACAAGTGCCAAGGTTTTATTTTGACATATTGGAAAGATAAGGATGCCAAGCCCCACCAGCTACCTTCTTCTGAGCACGATGAATTCTCCCAGCACTACTAGCAAATGGAAATTTTCCAACCATTTGTTTGCTTATGAAAGCCCTGTGACAAAGGGATGTTGGTAAAGATCTGGCAGCATAAGTCAAGGGAGAGGCAAGCCTCACTCTCCTTCCAAGTGCCAATTAGCTTGATTTGTCCTGTGAATTGACCTCAATAATTTTCATTCACTTAACTTATTTTCACACCTGCATTAAGTTAAAAAGTAGTATGTGTATGTATACATTCATATTAAACAGATATATATCCCATTATTGATACCCTTGAGCCCTTCAGTTCCCACTTCCAATACAGTTTTGATGTGTATAATGCTTTTACAACCCTCTCATCTTTTCTTCTACTTTGATGCAGTTTTGATTATTAGACTCAACATTAATTTCCTGCTTTCTAGTCTCGATATTTGAAGCATCAATTAAGCCAATAGATGCAACAAACATGTATTATTCAAAATCTCCACCAGTTGTATCCACAGGTCACCCTTGACGAGTTTGTGCTCCGAATTTCCTTCCTTTTTTTAAATAATTCAATTTTTTTCTAATTGCTCTTCAAAAGCAAGGATATGAAAATGACTTGTCCTTTGATATTTACTGAGCTTTTAACATCCAGCTGTAGCTTCAAATCTCTAAATATTTGACATTCAAAGTTACAATTAAAAGCATAGCATTTTGACTGCAAGACCTCAGTGCATACATTTACATTCATTACTTCCAAAGATTTTGCTCCACCAACATGACTGATTAGCCCTCAAGATCCTGTTGTCAAGACTGCAACAAGGGAATGAATTGAAAAGGGGGAAGGAGCAGCAACACAGAGTCCTGGAACAGTTGAACTCTTACCCTTTCCATTAAAAAGTTAATGTTACATATTGCCTGGAGCATGGCCTTTGTCTTTCTATTCCCACCTGTAAGATGGCAAGACTAATTTGGATAAATTTCCCAGTCACTTACATAGATGTAGACTCTTGAATCCCTGAACCTTGACTAGAATTCAGGCATCAGCTCCCCCATGGAAAATCTTTCTCCGCAGGAATAAAGTCATCAGCTGGCAGATGTTAAACATAACTGAAAAGTGGTCACACTCTCTTCTAAGAATTACCACTGACATAACATTTCTGAGCAACTGTTTCTACGTGGTGATATATACAGCTGACCATGACATTGTCTAACTCACTAAGGTATGATCCATGTTTGGGTGCTGAAAAATCTTACCAGTTCTCACAAAGGAGCAGTCAAATGTACTGTAAAAGAACAAAATTTTCAAAAGAGGGAGTGAGCATGCACAAAAAAATAGTTACTGAACTACAAAATGGGAAAGACTAATCTATTTTTGCAGTTTACTTTTAATAAGAAAATCCTAGCAACATAAAAGTCTCATTGAAGCTTCCGAAATCAGGGCTTGTAATTAAGGGAGATGGGAAATCCATCGGCTGCATCACTGGGACTTGGCGTTTTCCACTGCATCAGAAGAAAGCCTAGCAGACCTTTACTGAAAGGTGCATTTCTCTGTCAAGAGCATCTCCACAAAGTTTACATGCTACCTATCCTGGCTGTTAGAGCCAGGAGGGAAAACCTCACCAGACCGGCACTTGCATGAGCCTATCGTCAGCACTGACCTTCCAAGCAGAGATCTTTACATTTGTACTTTTCACTTTTTTGATATTCCAGCATTATGACCTAAAACATGCTGTCCTTAAAAAACCCAACTATTCCTCACCAGCCGAGGAATCAGGGCCAAAAAGGCTGCAAAGCAGTAAAATAATTACATGATAATCTGCTAGATTTGTGATATAACTTGTACAATTGCTACCATGAAACACAATTCTCTAGGGAAAGAAAAAACATTTAATTAGGTCTAAAATATAGCGATAATAAATTGTCTAACAAGGTTCCACCTCCATCCACGATAACTGTGCTTTCCACTTACCTTGTCACAAAAGACCTTGATCTGGCAGTAGGCTCGGTGGATGGGTTTATTGCTGCGGTTGTTGTAGCTGTACGTATCGATCTGAATCATCAAAGGAAGCCCTTTTACTCCTTTTTGTGAGGAGAAGTCTGTGCTCAAGCAATTCACTGTGATGAAAATCTGTGTGCCAGAGAGATTACTTTTAAAATGTGGTACAAACAATGATTAAACTTCGAGAAACACATGAAAACAAATGGGAAAATAAAAGCAGATACACCACCCTACCCACCCCCCCAAAAAACCCAACAGTTATTAATTCAGCTATGATGCATTCTCTGGCAATTCACACATTTATTCTCCACTTCTGTCCTAAATCCAACAAAGATGCTTCCATCCTGTCAAGTAGGACAAAATTTTAAGGCATGTATCAGCACTTCAGTTTGGATCAGAAGCTCACATTTGAGTTGAATCATTTGGTTGTCCCAATTTACCATGCTTTGGTTCACACCAGAGAGCTCAGAGTACATGAGTTGGATTCTTTTTGGAAGAGTCAGACCAGAAGTTGTGTTCTGTGAGCATTCCTCAGTTGCTCCAGCTGCTAATGGTTGCTCAGTCCATGGGAACTGACTAAAGACAACCTAAAACCTCCTAAAATGTGCCTCACATGGATGTCAGGTCTTTAGCCCTGACTTGCTTCATTCTAGAAATCTGCTCTGTATGTTTGCACTATTTGTTAAAAGTGCAGATAGGATCAGCTGGGTTGGAAAGGACCTTGGAGATCATCAAGTCCAACCTTCATCCACTACCACCGTGGTTACTAGACCATGGCACTAAGTGCCACATTCAGTCTCACCTTAAAAACCTCCAGAGACAGAGATCGTCTTGCTTCGCCCTTTCCAGCTGCCTTTGGTCTGGCTTGTTCTTCTGACAGCTCACAATTCAAATTCATTGGGGCAATGATAAGCCATACCCTTTTTTTTTATTTTACAAATTTTCTTCACGCTGTCATCAGGGGTACCCCTTCCTCCATCCCATCAAGAGATACCCTTGATCTTTACTTCAAAGGTCCTTCATTGTCTTCTTTCAATTTCAAAAATGCATCTCATCCTGTCTTTCAAACTGGGAAGCTCATTAATAAAACTACTGCCTCTCTCTTCTCAAAAGTCCTCTTTGTCATGTAGCAACCACTTAACTTGACATTGCATTCTGTTTCTGGCAAGCCCCCTACTTGTCTGTGCTTCAGAAATCCACCTCTTGCTCTTCTTCTACAAGCACTTATGTCAGTTGACACCCACTAGTCATCTCCTGCTCTCTAACTCCATTGGTACCATGGGACACGGTGTGTCTCATCTGCCATGTCTGTACAGGACCTGGGAGAAGGATCTCCCACCACCAAAGTCTCACAAGGACTATTCTGATGCAAAGCAAGCATTGTGAACTGAAATACCATTGATAGCTTTCAGTCAGGATAGCCTGAATGATACTGGATTAAAAATCCAGTTTTCTGCCCAGTGAGGAATATGTGCATTACATAGTAATTTGGGGCAATTATGCACTGACCTGATTCTACTTTTAATTTTTCCTCCGTTTTAAAAACAAAAACAAACTGCCAAACAAACAAAATCCCAAAACTGTGAACTAGGGAAAAGGACAAAGAAAACCACCAGTATCTCCTGAAACATGAGGATGTGAAACCTGACACTCAGGAAGGAAGAGATCTCAAACAAGGCTCTCAAACAGACCTGATGCACACCTTGCTGGGCAGAGGAGGGAGCAGCAGGCCACTGGTCTGGGAGGATTCAGGAAGGAAGAGCATGAAGGAACCCCTCCCCAGTCCACAAACAGGGAAAATAAACCAACCGTGTGGCTGTTCAGAATGCAACATCCCTAAGACAGGCAGCTGAGAATAAAGAAGGTCTCCCGGGGCTGGTGGGGCATACTTCACCCTCATGGCAGAAGTTACCATTACAGTCATGGTCTTTATGATGGAGCCAGCTTGTTTACCTGACTGAGCTAATGGCCCCTCCACTTTCTGCTTCTGATTCTATCACAGAACTGCATTTACAAACGAAATAGTTGAACTTTAACTGCGGGAAGAGGAGGGAGGCGGGGAAGGGCCCGAGGTGAAACTCTGATTTTGAAGCTGATAGTGTTCTTTCTGTTTCAAATTACAAGTTGGTCTCTCCTCCAGCTCCAAAGGTAAGTGTAGATATGGGCGCATACGCCTTTGAAATATAACAGCCTGAATTTCATTTGCCTTCAGACTCCTTTACAGTGTCAGGGCAACAGTTTAAACTGTGTGTGAACATACAGGAGTGGAATGAGGTTTGGCATAAAACAGAAATCTAGTCTCACTATACTTTAGCTCATACTTCTGCACAAGGATTTTCCAAACTGTAAGTTGAAATGTGAGAGGGAACATGCAGGCTTTGCATCTACTCAGCACTTTGTACATCTGCAACATTTGCTGCATGCTCAGCTGAGAAGTAAAAAAAGATCTTGTCCCACCTTAATCAACTACATACACTGCGTGTCATCTCTTTCACTGCCACCACAATCACAGAGCAGAGTAGGAGCAGCTGGGGAAGACAGACTTTATTGTTTCAAGAGTCCCTATACAGCAATAACAGATTATTCAGCATGAATAATAGATATGTGCTGTAAGATTCAATATCTTGTCCCGACACAGTAATACATCAGGATCTCTCTGAGAAGCAATGACTGTACATTCACGTACATGAAGTGTACTATACTTTCTGCCATATCATTTGCACCTCACAGATAGACAGATGGATTCAAATTAACATAGATCATTCATTTGGGGGAAATTTTCTGTCTCCATGCAATATTCTATTAGCTTTCCTGTAAAGCACAACACTGACTTTAGATTCAGAAAACATGGGAAGTGTGTAGAGGGGAAGGAGAAGAGGGTGTATTCCTGTTCTTGGAGTTGATTTTAGGGTCTCCTTTTTTTTTTTTTTTGCACAACTAAAGATTTGCACCAGTTTTAATACAGTGGTGCAGCAGGCTGCTATGGCGAACAGGACCTGGGGAAACACCTGGACAGTACCCTTCTCTCTCCCCTGCTCTGACCAGAAACCACCTCCACAACGCAGTGATCTGCACTGAGCAGCAGTGCTTTTAACTGCCTGTCCAAGTACAGCCTGCTTTGCCCTTTACAACCCTCATCTTCCTCTCTTTCTCACCTCCTGTCCATAATGCAGGTACTCCCACTCTCTATGAGACAAGGGGCAAAACAACCCCATCTTCAGACGTGAAAAGAAAAAGCACTGCTCTACTTCTCCTGGCAGATACCCAGGTTTAAGATCCTCCTTCCTGAGGTCTCTTGCATAGTAGAAATAACAGTAGCAGGAGTAGAAATCAGTTTCCCTCCCCAGCTCTGTCTACACTTGTCTTAGAACTCTATTAATAAAAGTGAATATAATTGTCTATCTGAATTAATTTACAAACTTTTTTTTTCCCCTGTGCAAACTGGATTTTAACAATGTTTTGCTATCAATTGGGTTGTCATTATAGTGATGTCTTTTTTTTTAATGTCAGTATATCTCAGATTAGAGCAATTAATGGCAGAGTTCCACCCATCTAGTCTCCAGCTCAGGCATGCCGTTGGTAATGAAATACTAATTTGGAGAAACATCTGCTGCTGAGAAAGTTTCAAAAGTGGCCTAAGATAACGACAACTCTTCTGTTTGATATACAGCATGTCTAGAAAAAGCACTCTCTCTTTCAGGGAAGGCACTCCTCCATGGTGTAGCTGCTATTATGTGAATTACTGACTGTTTGTTAAATACTGCAGCATAATTAGGGATGTACAAGACACAAACACAGTAAGCTGCCTTAAGAGAAAACAAGGCTCAGAAGTGCATTTCCCTTTTTATCATTTAATTCAGCCAACATGACTCCTGCTGTGATCTCTCAGCTTATACACCTTAAAAGGTCTACAGTTACAAAACTTTTCATATAAGCCTTTCATTACTATTTACCTTTCTGGCTCCCATTGTCTCAGAAAGAGCCAGGGGCAGAAGGGAGGGAAGAGTGTGTTATGGCACAAAATCAGAAACTTACAGCAGTTTCTCTACTGAATACCAGTAATACATAGTACCTACACCTGGATGATGGGTCTTAAAAACCCTGTTTTTAAAAAGTTCATCCCTCCAGACTGTAACAACAAAGAGTTAAGTGACGTGTCTCTCAAATGACTAACATCAATCCCATCATTCCTCCTATACACAAAAAGTGTGGTTTTATAGTTTCTCCTGCCAGCCGTTACCTTATAAATCCCACACAAAGGTAAAACCTTTGTTTTATTTCAATACAAATGTCTCCAGCAAATGTTTGCACTACTCTTTTGAAGCTTCCTCAACCCACACCACACCCAGGCAACTACATAAAAATGCCATTTGCCTTGAATCTCAGATGCATACTTACCAAGTATACACTGGATTTCAACATTATGTGCTACCACAGGTTAACTCTTCTTTAATATATACACATGTGTGTGCATGTCTCACATATATATATATATATATATATATATACACTTGCACAGACAGACATGGATTATTAAAGTAGTTGCCAAGTCTAATCCTAAATAATTTCTGGTACTAACTCCCCAAAATGAAGCATCTCTTCCTTCAACCTTTAAATTTTGACAGTAGAGAAAATGTTAATTTCCTTCCTAATTAAATTAAATTAAATTTGATGTAACTTAAGAAGGAAATTTGTGATTATGAACAAAATAATTCTTATACTAGTCAAAGCCTGTCCTAAGTATCACTAGCAATGTTAAAGAAATATGGATTGGCACAATACAAATCGCTGCTACAGATAGTTCTGCTCTACAAGCTTGATTTTACCATTGTGCCCGCTGGAATTGGAGCTCACTTTGGCCCACAATATCCAAGAACCTAATCCTGCAAATCACTCACTCTTTGAAAACAGCTTATTACTGTATGGGCTATGCCAAAACTCATTAAATACCTGGAAAGGTTCCCAGAGGCTTCAGCATGCTTTGGATTAAAGATCTACATTTCAGTTAAATATAGCAGGACAATGATTGCACGCAAGTATACACAACAACTGCAGAGTGCACAGCTCCTGTGCACACCAAAGGGCATATGTCAGCACCTGCCTCAATTATATATCCACCAACATGTCTCTTTACCACATGTCCAAGTTGTGGTGCTCAGCAGAAACCAGTAACCTCTTGGTATCACTGAAAGTTATTTTTTGTGTCTTTAAGGTGACATTTTTCTTTAGCAACTGCTCACTGAAGTAACATCTTTGAATTTAAGGTTAAAAAGCATTTTCCATAAAAATATTCAATTAATGTACTGTTTCAGAATTAACACCGTCCTAACCACTTGAAATTAGAAAATTACCAATCACAGAAAAGGCATATCTCAAGGAATTGGTAGGATTTATGACAAATATATTCTCCTTTGACCAGGAGGATTCTGGTTCATAATTATCTTCCTTGCAAAGTAACTTCTGTCAGCGATTAGACTGTAAGCAGACAGATGAATGTCTATCAAAAATGAAGCTGAACTCTGTTCAAAAGCCTCCACTTGAACTTTGTCAACCAGCCAGATGCTGCAAAAAAAAAATCTTCTATAGGGCAACAGCAAGGCAACTACCTACCTTCTAGCATATTTATATAAATAGACTTCTAAAAGTCATTCAGTTCTTGTTAATTGTTGTTTGTTTCCTCACCTTTTTTTAAAGAACTCCTTTAAAAATACCAAACATAGCATTCAGGTTCAACCAAAGGGAGCTGAAAAATCACCTTGCCCATAAATGTTGCATATTTATACACAGAACTAAATACAGAAGTGAAACAAAGATGGATTGTACAAAACTGTTCTTCTCTTCCTACCTCTGTTCCCTTACAGTACAATATATTTGTCTTAAGGAAGCATAAGATAGAGTTTGACATGGTTACAGTCTTCCCCTTATTTTCCTGTATCCTGTTCTGAACCACAAGCCCCACAGCGACTTCTAGATAAGGGCCCCAGCAGAAAAGGATATTGTTCTAGAAAAGGGTAAGAATACACCAGGACAAACTCTGCTCTGCCAGAAGGCAAGGGGACTGCTGTCAACCAGATACAGCAGCAGAAACGCCAGCAGAGTGGCGTTTCTGACTTTGGTGCTGTTTCCTTAGTCCACACAAAGCAATAGTGAGATTATTCCACAGCTTGACATGAGCTGTACAAGATTCCCTTTCCATTGACTTGTTCTGCCAAGCAGCAGCTGAAAGACAAGGCACCAAGCACGGGGAGTTGGAACCAACAGCTCAGTTACAATCACATTACTGGGGTAATAGAGGCCTCTGCCTCTGAATTCCTGTTTCTTCCACATAAGACCCACATGAGATGCTGCCTTATCAACCCTTAGCAGGCTCACTGTTAGCAGGCAGACTGGCTGCCACACCCGTGCTTTTATACCCTCATCCTGAAGGGCTTGGAGGAGGAGGAGTGTCTGCTCTGCTTGTGTGTGGGAGGGAGAAATCTGGCTCTAAATGAGGAGAAATAGGGATTTAAATCAGCTGCCCTCCAGGTGGAGTAAGAAAGTGAGAAATCTGATGTTCCAGATAGGTGTTCCTAGATGCGGGATTTAGTCTCCCAGGAGAGACAGGCATATTTGGATATGTGATTTCTGCTGCTTTTGTTTGATTTTCCAGATCACTCCCCTGTGCACTTCCAACAAGAAGTCCATTTTCTGTGTTACTTCCCAGGCCAGCAGAGTACTTCATCACATCTCATCTCAGAGGCCCTGCAAAGAACTGCTCTGTGCTACTCTTGTCTGACTCCAAAGAGAAAAGCCATTGTGCCTCTGAGTGGGTTAAGTTTTAATCTTGAAATTGTGGTGGAAAAGAGAAAACAACACTGAGCAGAAACAATGGAGCCAGTTGAAAGATCATCATTCAAAAAGCTTAGGAAAAGAGTCTGTAATTACGCCTTGAAATTCTTCATCTCTCTTGGATGAGGTAATTGCTGGAGAAAAAACAGCCTTCAGTGACGTGCCTCAGAGTTTACAGCTTTCCAACACCACAAGGGCATCCTATGGGAATCCCCAGACCCGGTGCAACTGGTTGTTGTATTAGACTCTCCCACAGGAGCAAGCAAGTGGGTACATGTACACGTGCAGGGAGGGAGACACTTTAGTGCAGGCAAGGTGGTAACCTTCCACATACAGCCTGATTCATGCTTCATAGCTCAACACCAAAGCGTGTTATGAATCCTCTTACTTTTATCAATACATTTGCAGTTCAAGCTCCTAAAAGATCAGATATTTATTAACTATCCCCCAAAATAAATATGCATAAGCTAATTTGCATTTTAATTAATACTTCCTGCAGAAATACAAGGGGCTTAAATTTCACTCCTGACAGTTTTTAAGTCCAGCAACAGTAAGAGAGTCTTTATTTTACAATCTTAGTATGTTTTATTTCCAGTGATCATTGCAACAGTTGTGTTCTTCATGTAGTGGCACCAAAGGCAAGAGCAATGTGAATGGTGTGAGATTAGAACAAAATGTCCCAGGGTTAACACCTGACATTAGTGGATGTGACTGTCTTGTTTCTAGATCAACATGGTGTCTTGCTAAGTCTGGCTAGCAGCTGCAAATGCGTTAAAGAACTGCCAGCCCTGGCAGCGGGGATGGTAGATGCCAGTGGGACAAGACTGCCATGCTCTAGCCATGGTAGCGCTTCTGTAAAGGTCCCTGAGAAAGTTTGTTTGTGTTGAAGATCCCAAATCTGTATTTGCTGTATCTCCTTGCATAATGATCACACACACAACAGTCACCTCTTGTGACTGCAGAGGACAACATACAGCTGTAGTTCGAAATGGAATCACATAACAGGGAAGTATCTGAGGCGGTGACAATGTAATCATTAGATGAGTAAATATAACTACATTAGCAACTGGCCAAGTACAACTCTGTTTACCAAGGCCTGCTTTTGAAAGAGCTGGGTGGTTTTCAGAACTATTGTCTTTTTTTTTAAGATGTGCATCAGAGATGAAAATCCCTGTTACTACAAACCTCAGCACCTTCAGTCAGCAAGTCAGGGCAGTGAGTATTAATACCATCGCCCCGCGCTCGACACAATCTCCCACAGGACTCACTCACTCCAATGCAATCTCTCTAATTCTCTGTTAGAAACGCAGTGGGGAATTGTGCATGAAGATGTCTCTGTATTTGAAAGATTCATTGCATTACTTGAACACTGGGCATTTTGTATTCAACATGAAAATGGTATCAGGAGTTTGCCAAGCTCAACAGTGTTTGCTGTTTAGTAATTCTACATCCCCAAGAGTACTGCATTACCCTCACTCATTTTACACAGCCTATTTCCCTTGTTGTTTGCCTTCCGGGGGCCAACTTCTTCTTAGAATTACCGGCAGCTTTTCACTTCTCCCACACTAGTCCATGCAGCTGAAGCACTCTGACAGCCTTTGTACAACCTTATCTGTAAGAAACTCTTCTGTTCTGGTTTATAGATCCACTTAGCAGTCACAATCCTGAATGAAAAACTCCATGCCTAAGGGTACTTGACCATTTAAAAAAAATAAAAAGTAAAAAAAAATGCATTAATCCTCAAAAATACATTTGTTCCCAATTGCAAGGACAGTCTGTGTAACGCTATGAAAAATAATGGCACCAACACAAGGGAAGGTATAGTCTAACTTACAGAGTATTGATTATTTGAGATGTTCCTAGTGTAGAAAGGAAGTTGATAGTTTAGAGAAAGAAAACATTCACCTTGTGTCCTATACCTGACTTGGCAAATAAGAAAAAAAATTTCTACTGTTTCTCAGGCTGGGCACCTACCAGCAACCCTTCTTATATGTCAAAAAGGAGAGAAGTGGAACAGTGACTATGGATAGATGGTATTTATATAGGGATACCATCTGCATGGCTTTTCCTCACCTTTGCCTCCTCATTGACGTCCCAAGTAAAGGACACGGCATTGAATGCAATTTCTTCAATATTCCCAATGGTATTAAAACTCTCCTTGTAATCAGCTGTAAGAAAAAACAAACAAACAAAAGACCAATGAAAAAAAATTGAACTTTCACAGTTCATAGTACATCTTTGCTTCTTCGTCTGGGTTCTCTAACACATCAAAACTACCTCTTGTACTGTTTATGATTCATTAATAACCTTAATTGCAAAGAGATAATACAATGCAACTTGAGTCACACGCACAGTATATCACTGGCTGATGTTCTAACAAAATATTGCTTGCTCTCAAAAAGAAGTAAGTGTGACTCTAGTGGCAATGAGCAGGTGCATTTCATTAGCTTGGCCAAGAAATGGCCAAAACTGGAAAATTAACTAAAAAACTACTGAAGCATTTAAAGAGACTGTTCAAAACTTGACATAAATAAATAGCATTACAGTAAATTCTAAAGAAGCTTTCTAAAAGGCTAAGAGCTATAATTGAAGGATATCATTAGTAGTGTATATTTCTTGCACAGCTCCTTCAAGTTTCCTAGGAACTGCACCAGATGCTGGATCAATGTTTCTCTATTAAAAAAAGGAAAACAAAAAACAAACAAAAACCAACACCAAAACAAAAAACAAACCAACAAAAAACTGCAAAGAAACAAACCCACAAAGATCCTTTTCCCAACGGTTTTATGCAACTAAAACAGCAAACAAACAAATGTAGAGTATTTTTAAGTTGTCTGACTACAAAATCTGCACCTTCTTCTCCCTTCTTCCGAAAGGGCTGTTAATATTATCAATAAGCTAGCTTTTAGCAAGGAATGAAAGCAAAAGGGAGGAAGACTTCATAGTTGACCCAACAGTCCCCTAGAAATAGTAAGGGTGTAAAACCATGTAAAACAGACAACTCCCAGGTCGTCTTTATTATTGAAAAGAGGAACAAGCCACCTTTTTCTCTCCCTTTGCTGGCCAGTTTAACACACTTTCTTCCTTTTGTTGACAGATTAAGAGAAGTGCCAGGTAACATCTGCTTAATTAAAGGAACTTCCAGATTGTTCACACAAATGCATCAACTCTCTCTGGGACATATATATTTCCTAAGAATCCCCTGAGGGTTGTAACTGGACTCAGAGCCAGAGGGTTGAAATTACTCCCTTGATCTAATGTTTGCCCAAATCTGTGCCTTAGAAGCATGCTGATTCTTAGCTTTGTAATAAGTTATGGAGAGAGGATGTTTTTGTATTCTGTGAGGCACACAAATGGTTTCAATATTCATTTCCTTTGCTCTTCTAAACTGTTGGTCTCTAAAAAATAATTTCTACATAATAACTGCTATGAAATCATTTATAACAAAACCATTTCTGCAAGGAGGATTATTTAACATTTGAGACATGCAATCAGTATACTTTTCTCTCATCTAAAACACAAGAATGCTGACATCTCACTAGGCAAGTGAAACTGTGTCCCTGGGACACATAAATGATTTTTGGATACAATAAAAAAATCACTGTTCAGACCCTAGGAACAGCACGAGATATTTGGTAATGTAGTAAATTAACACAGTATTTGAGAGGGCAGGCAGGCTTTTCATTCCCACCAAGAACTCAGATCTCCTTTCTAACTGAAGTCATTGGCTTCACTATCTAAATTCAGTATGGGAATGCAAATGAGAAGAATTACAAGACACATAAGTAGTTTAATATGCATGTGCACACATCCACCCACCTCTAAATTTATGATTCACCAGAAAGTGCCTTGTGCAACTGACTGCTGCATATGGGCGTGCTGTGTAGGTGCACTTTGGAAAGACATGAACAAGATGTCTCGTAAAGACACTTGTTTTCTTCTCCTAAAAGGCTGTCAGAACCTCACATCCCACCAACCCTTCCCTTCCCCCAACACATGCCTCTGCTTCCTTAATTGCCATACACAAATCTCACGGAGTGTCTATGCGACACGCTGTTAAAAAGTAGAAGTGTATCCTATTCCTCTCAATTTACAGACAATTAAAGAAGGATCTTCAGTTGATTAAGAAAGAATTTACATCCAAGGATATTTGAAAGCTGTTAGAGTGACTACAATTTTTCCGCTTCTGCTGCTGTGAGTTACCAGAAAGAGAAAGTTGGGGTTTTTCAATATTCAAGAAAATGGTTGTACAGGAATTATTTCCTCTTGTGTTACATAAACTGCATAGTAAACAATGGCAAATTTTTAATTTTAACTACTAATCATGCATTACATAACTTTGTAGTAGCCTTTGTAGCTTCTTTGTATATATATATATAGTAGCAGTGCACATAAATAATACAAACTATCCCCCCCCAAAAAAACATAGGCAAGTTTCTGGAGCACAAAGATTCCACACCCACTCTTCATATTTGAACCTGTCCTGGTATTTCACAAATTATTGTACTGATTCTAAATAATCAATATTTGCTGCAACTTAATATTGAATTATTTATTTCACATTATTTTAAAAGAAAAAGCTAGTGATCAAACGTCACAGCACTGTGAAAAAGACAGCTGGGTTTTTTGCCCTCTTTACTCATGCTAAAAAGAGTGAACATGCCTTCCTCCTTCTTCAGAAAAATCAATTATAGCAGACAGCCTAAATTTTAGAAAATGCCTTACCTTCTTGCTTAATAAGCATCAAAGCCTTCAGGTTTATTCCTCAAGCACTGACTTGCTTACATGTAAGTACAAGCTTATGCTATTAATATCAATGCATCTACAGACGGGGTACTGCATCTAACCCATTCAACCATCCTTTCTCCCAGGAGGTGCACCAGCCAGTACACAAAACAAATTAAAGCAGTGACTGACCCCAATGTGATTGGAGTGAAGCAGCAAGTCACTATTTCCTCTGATCTCCAAAATATAACTGCACGCCAGAAGGCAGACAGACAGACCTGTGCCACTGCAGAAAGCAGCATAAGCACAGTCCCCACCCCTATCTGAGGGCTGAACAGCTGGAGCCCAGAACTAGAGCATCCCAAACTCATTTGATGTTCTGCCTGCTAAAGACCACATCATGCTCTAGATTAAAAGTGCATTCATAAACAATTAAAAAGAATTCACAGATGTTAAACATGCTACAAACATCAAGTTAAAATAATATTAAAGACTATAAATATATATGGAACAGGTGATGCAGATATACAGACACCTAATTCTCTCTGTTAACTTTGGGGCCTGGACACTAACTCAGTATTCCTTTACAGGACCCATACAAGGTCCTGAATTTTTAATGTAAAGGGAAATCTTCATAGAGTCATTCAATATAATTTTGGATGGAAGGAATCCCTAGAGGTTATCTGGTTCAAGGAGGGCCAGCTTCAAATTTGGATTGTTTCTCATTTAGATCATTTGATGGTAAAACTGGGAGATTGCTACTTGTATGGGAAATGTAGTTGGGAGCTATTCTGGCCTAATAAACCAAATAGGCATAAGGTAAGTGCCAAAGAAAATTAAATGTACTTCAGAAATACCATACTTGGTAAGGGCTAAGGCCATATTTCAGTTGTTCTCAAGAAAACACTACTGAGCAACATCTGGGTCTTTCTTCTGAAAACTCTGAGGTGAACCATGCTCTTACAGCTCTTACATCTGACAAGGAGTCAATAAGTCTTACTACACTGGGCTGTGCTCGTGTTTGCAGTCCAAATAAAGAATATGCACCAGAGTGCCTCAAAAGTCAGCACAGACCTATTTCATCTCAAACCAACGGAAAATTAAAAGACGTTCACTTTAACACAGGTAAACACACAGCTCATGTACAGCACTTGTTTTGCAGAGCACTATTTTACAGAATATGCATCATAAGCTGACTCATTGGGGAAAGGGACTGAAATGTGCCAGGACACTACAAGTACAGTGGAGTCAGAGGGTGTTGGCATGGCAGTGGAACAAGCTCATGAGCGCATACTTTCAAAGGTATGAGCATTTAGTACTGTAAGCTTGTAGTGACTAGTACAAAAAAGTAGGCAGCCTTCAGAAATAGCTGTGACGTGGCACACTTGCTCTTTTAACGTGTCACAATAGGAGTCATTTGGTCTCGGGTGGCGATTTTACTGCCTGAACTATACCAAAGGGCAAGGAAAGAAAAAAGGAAAAAACCCAAAGAAGTTGGGGAAACAGTTCAGCCAGAACAATGATGATAAGAGGCAGAGAGGAGATTCGGGAGGAGCTGCTTTGACAAAACACACTTGACCTTAAGTGGAGCTCCGAGGAGGCTGCAGCATTTCAAAGGCTAAAGGCATTGTGTGAGTAGAAACACTTAGGTACTGATTCCCTGATCACCCAGTTCAATTGCCCCTGAAGTCTTGTGGTGTTCTTTACCAGTAACCCTGCTTTGTTTTCAAACTCCTCTCTGCCTCCTCTCATTCCTGCCATTCAATGGTTTGGTTCCCTCAGGCGGTCAAAACAAGATAGACTTTGTCTGCTTTGGTCTTGCCGACTCCTTTGACTGGAATCCTGCAGATGGCTGCATGTGTAAACTGCATGTGGGAGGGGAGAAGCACTTGATGTCTAGACACTGCCATTGATTCAAACTTCAGGCTCCTTGGCAGAAGGTACGTGTTCTTCCTCTGCTAAAATCTCCCAAGCATGTGGATAGGGCAGCTGTGGCTGAAAGAGGCTTGTAAATACCTTAGATGGGATGAACGGTAAACAGATCTCTCAGGATAGCACACCAGAGCTTGTTCTCCCTCAGTGCTGACACCAACAAGACTCCAAGTCTTCGAGTGTAGGAGTCCTGTGCCCTCCTGCAGTCACCAGGATGAAGGCATCCTCATTCTCAGCCTGCACTTCCACATCAATTAGCTAACACAACTGTTACTGGCTGCTATTGTTACTGGATCAAAGACTGGATCAGCCTTTGAAAAACTAAAGAAAACAAACATTCTGCCACTCTTGAGGAGGTGCAGACCCCGACTTCCCAGCTGCAGAAGGTGGATCACTAAATACACATGCACGGGGCAGCTCTTCTGTGTAACTACTGAGAACCATTCCTTCTGCATGCTCCCTATCCTGCTCCATAGACCCTATTGTCCAGTCCTAGCAGGGATGAGCCATTGCCAAAAACTGTGGTACTGTGCAAGGTATCAGAGCTTTCCATATCTGAAATCTTCCCTGAAACATCTGGAGATCTTCTTACACTTACCAATGTCGAGGACCCTCTGTTTAGCTGTGTGCTGCCGGGAATGCCAGTACTTCCAGTATTTCAGCTGTTCATCTCTGTTTTTATCCTCACTGAAAACAACCATGACCACGCTCTATGAAAAAAACCACCAGAAACCACATTAGTTAAAATAATTAATAGTCAGAAACACAAAAATTAAAATCTCCTATATGCTTCTAATGCTGATCCAGTCATCACCCTCTCCTCATACTTTGGTTGTAGAAGATTGCTAGGTTTTAATCCAGTCCAACATTGCAGTGCACTTAAAGACTCCAGGCAGAGGAAATGTAGTTGGAAAATAATGCAAGGCCCAGGATTATGTTCCCAATAGTCCAAATAAAATTTAATCATATTCTTAGATTTAAGAAGTCTAAGTTCCCTTTATTAAAATGTGGTCATTTCAAAGTGAGAGGATCCCCAATTCCAATTCTGATCTGAGTCCAGCCAAAGTGATGGAGTTTAGATTCTTTGTCACTCTGGAAGATAACATTACACTGAAAGGGATGTGTTGTTATGGAGCTTCACCTCACTGGCTAAGGCAGGACATTTTCAGTTTTACCATATACAGTCAAAATACCCTTCTTGGGAGCAGAACTCTTGCATACTTGTATTTAATGACAAACTCAATGTAAGTATTTACTGAGTTTTACTGAGGTTTTCACTTCATGTTCTAAATTCCCTTTCTTAAACTGTGTGATTCAAAGCAAACAGATTGAAACTTTATGCAAAATTTTATATTAGCAATAAAGTTTTTTTTTAAAAGCCCTGCTGTAGCCAAGTAAAACAAAAAAAAACCCACAAAACAATGAATAAATAATCCTATCAGGTAAACTGAAGTGAAAATAAAGCACAGAGAACAAAAAAAATCACTTTTAAATATCCTCTTTTGTTCCTGTTCTTCCTTTAACCTCAAGACACTAAGGTCAAACCATCATCAAGCTGTTTCATAAGCTGAGGAGCTGGATCACGATTGATTCATGATCTGTGTCGCTCCACACAGTCACCACTGTAACCCTTCACATGCTCTGTGACCTTTTGCATAAAAGCTGAACACCATCACCACATCTTCCATGTCCAGTCTCCGCATGGGCACAAGGCAATATATGCCATGGACAAGCCCTGAGTTATTCCTGTGCATACTGGTTGCCCATCAGGTACGTGCTGCCTGGCCAGCTGATGCACTAACCAGATCTGACCATGCTGACCAGCTTTTCCACCAAGGACAGCATTAATCTTTTTCCTCTATGAAACACTTACATGGAACTTGTAGAGGTTTAATACCTTCAAAACCTCTTGCACCTCTGTCAGGTTTGGATGGAATTGGCAATAAATTCAAGAGTCGCCTGAGTAGGGCCCTGGCAAACAGAACATGATCGTGAAAGTTGCACGTGGTTTCACAATCTTCTGTAAACTACATCCTCCAAAAGGATGTGGTCTCATCTCTCTTTTACAACTTCAACCCTTCTGTTATCACAGCTTCAAAACTCATGTGGCACTGAACCAGGCCTATGAGGACTGGTTTTCAGTCAGACCAGTGAGCTCCTGTCTCCTGTTTCAGCTCTGCAAGTGCTAGACCTGGAGCCAAAAAGGGGGAAGGAACAGGTGGCAGGGAAAGAGATTTTGCAGCAAGAGAGAAATCTTACATCAGCTTTAGCCAACAGTGTAACACTACAGCCTCATGTCCTCAGGAAACCAGGCTAGAAATTAACTGCTAATCCAGGTGTGCTGGTTTAAAAGTTAACCAGCAGGGGGAATGAACCCAACTCAAAGGAGAGATTATAAGTCAGAATAACAATTTATTAAAATAATACAGTAAGTACAATAATACAAACAAACAATTGGTCTCAACCCACAAAAACCCAAATGTATAACCCAGTGCCCTGGGGCCTGAACAAAGTGGTGTTCCTTGGGCCCTGTTTGAGTCCAAAGTAAA